AATATCCCAAAGGGCGCGTGTGGTGCAGTGGTTGGAGGCGCCGCTGCGACACACACGTGGAATTGATCCCCGCGCTCCTCCACACTTACGAAATCGCAAAGTCGGTACCAAACTCGTCTGAGAGGATAGCAACACTGGATCGATACATCGGTAGGCCACTGAGAGTCACTGTAAAGATTAGATGTGCATTCGGTCATCTCCAACGGTATATAATGAAGTCCAGTGCATGGCGCATCTCTTAGGGATTGATCAACGCCGAGAACTTAATCCTTTTTATTATCCCAAATCTATGCGGGAGCAAATACCGTACTTAACAGGAGATCAGGTGATGCATGCCCATGCGATTCATGACGCAGTAGTTTTGCAGTCAACAATTATTCCTCCGTGGAAATATCGCGTTTTTTCGTCCTCATTGTTTACAGTATTTGACAACTTATATAAGACCAAAGTCTTTAAAAAAGATGTAGCTGATGCACTTGTGTTTATCCGGTTATAAGAATACCAAGCGGCTATCCACATTAGACGGCGTTTCAGATGAGGCGCGGCGAGATAAAGGAGTCCGGATCAGCTGGCAGGAGATGCCTATCTCAAGGCGAGTAATCGGCAATTCACTAGCAGCACAAGATGTTAACGAGATTCGACTCATCAATCAGTGCTTGTATAAGCCGAGCATTTATTTATTTAATTGTCTAGTTATTTATTTACCTATTTATTTACCCATTTACGTCAAAACCACTCATTGATTAGAATGAAGGATGAGGCGATCCCTTAAAAATGCGCTTTCCATTCGGCTTCTGCAGCCAAAATTAGATGTGATTGAGTGCACTCTGGATATTTGGCGCATACGCTGATTTGTGGGTGGGCTGCCGATGTATAAAGACAGTGCTGCTAACCTCGCAGAAAAGTCTGGTACTAATCTACTTACACGGGAAGGGTGGAAGGCTTATTAACACTAGGGTGCGGGATCGAACCAGAGAACCATCCAATGTGTATTGCAGCACATCACCAACTGTGCTTCGCGTTCTCGCAACTATTCATTATTCTTCTAATTTCCTATATATGATTCCACATTTACGATCTTGAATAAACTAATTAAAACGTCTCCAAATATTCGTCTCTTCACCAAATTCGCATGTTTCCACTCCTCAATTTCACAACGTATGTGGCGTGAAACATGTGACTGATTGCCTGCACGAAGAGCGTAGATTGGAGCAGTTTGATAAATTCCGATACTTTTAGAAGAAGAGTTGTCAATGACGAGTGAACACGGCTGAGCTAGGTCTACCGAAGTCTTTAAGACGAATATTTCAGTTGAAAACTCTTCTTGAACTGCAATCTTTTTTTTACTTGGTTACGCAGTCTTATCATCGCATCATTTGCTGTCGATTTGCAAATCTCAGCTATTGTCTTCATTTAGCACTACGTAGCGCTTCCAGGGTCGGCTGACAAGTGTGCCCTGGGCTAAAACAGGCGGTGTTGAATGCACGGCCGCTGTTCATAAAGGCATTTGTCAGCGCGAACAAGCTCGTGGCACGTTTATGACCTGTGCATTGTTCGCGACAGAGTGGAAAAGACGCCGATGTGGTCATAAATTGGCCTCGGCACTCCTCATCCATCGAGGAACACTGGCGTCCTCCGAGCGCCGCACACCTACGGAACTGTTGAGCGCCGTCGTCCTCGTAGCCGATTCATCTGATGGCTTGAGACTGATGCATTGAAGACGTGATCACTATCTGCTCCACTTTGCCAACCTTTTCAATCAGAAATCTCGAGATCTCCTTGGTGTTTCGAAATATTTCATAATGATAATTGAACGCATCTTAACGTAGGCACCAATTTGGTGACGAGTTCATGAAGTTTTATGAAGAATATTCCGACCGTCCAGTATTAATCCTGTTCTCATAGTCGAAGTTACAATCCCTTGTTTTTTGAAGTGTTTTTCGTCGTCAATGGTAAGTGCTCTTACAATCGCCTTCTGGTTAATCCCCTGCACGCTTTGCATTATCATCTGCCAGAGAGATGTTTCCGCAAATTTTTTTCTTGGTTTCAATCTATATGTGCCATTCATCTTGCTGTCTCATTGTTCTAAACAAGTGTTTGCTTCCTGCAAACCTAATGTTAGTCTCCTTTAGACAGGATGCCAACCTTAGTATGGTAAAAAGAAAGTAAAAGAGCAAAATTGTTCCACATCGATTAGCAAACTCTTTAAGATCCACAATAATGCCGAGATATTTGCAAAACTGCGGGCCGCAGGTGTTTGTGGTGAAGAACGAACGCGGTATTACCCATTCCGGGGGCTAACGCGTTCACCACCACAAAATGCGGCTCCATCGTTTCGCCTGTCTCTTTAAGATCCGTTGTAAGTAATGAGCTACGAAATCTGGGGTAGAGAATTCTCCTTTTTTCACTCACATTTTTCACTTAGTCGCCGCCTAGAGGGTCTGCACCGATGAGATCTGTGACCGTGTGAATAACTGCAGTGCATTGTCCTTCTATAGTCCAACTATAACAAATTGGGAAACGGTCATCACAAGAATGCAGTAGGAGTCACCACGTAGGATCCTCTCTATGGTCGCTTCCTTTGGCACAGCGAGAATGTTGTTGTAGAAAAAGAAGTCAAAAAATTCCAGTATCTGAGCTGATTTTATGTGCAAAGGTTTCCTAGCGTAGCAGCAAACGGACAGTTGGAATGGGTTTGAACTCGTGCTCCGAAAACACCAATGCCTTTCAGCTTTAAATGGACTAATTTCAGCTCATACTGAACTTTATTAGTTGAAATGAAAATTGTTGGAATCACCACATCATTGGCAAAAAGAGTCTCTTATTCTGTTACGTTGAAATTCTGATCTTCACAAAAAGGTTTCTTGCTTTTTGTCGTCGAATTTTGTTGTATTTCAGAGTGCAAAGAGATTGAACAAGCGTGATCCCATGCAGGAGAACAGATGGTGTCCTCGAATCTATGACTGCCCTGGTTGCGTCGTGTTCCAAAAATTTGAATTCATCCTGAGTTTTTTCAAAATTGTGGAACTAAAATGATGGCATAGAAAATTTGCATACACGCTAACGTAGGGATGTGTTATAAAGTCTCTTCTACGTGCGTTCTATTCCTGGACTCTTAAAAACCTTTGGTTCTCGAAAAATTGCCAACAGTTGTCGGAAAACCCTTCGTTGCGGACATATTGGGCAGCATCTATCTGTAGTTTCTTATCATTTTTTCTTGATCTTGCAACTTTCGTAAGAGTGACGTGGATTCGTAGGTCATTCCTCAATAGCAATCACCACTTCCCATTTCGCTGGCTCGGGTTTTCACGATAGACTCTGCGTTACAACGCGACCATCTTCGTGCCGTCCTCTGGTCCGTCTTCGTCTTCAAAACGTGGACCTTTCGATACTTTCACTCCGCCCAACTGGGCTACTGTATCCGGGCGTGGGTGGGGTGTTCGGTCGCAGCGGGTAGTCGCGCCATTACACGACCACCCATCGGGAGCAATCCGTCCGCTATTCATCCTCTCAACATTTATGCATGATTTTATCGCGTTATTGATTTCTGTTTGAGCTTCACCAGTCATTCAGCTTACTTTTCTAACAAGCAAACTCTTCTGTTCTTTCAGAAATTTTTCCCGTTTATCTTTTTTAAGGTAAGGGAATATCGGATTACTATTCACCTCTAATACAGACAAAATAACTCTTAAAAGGAAAATCCGTGCAGCTCAAGACGAACAGCAGTCGAAATACGAAAGATCTCGACAATGAATGACCGAATGTAGTCGACCTGTTGAATCCATTATATAACGGTCATTTTGCATCGTTTAATAGTACCTACCACTTACATTTTGCTCTGTAGTGCTTATTTTAACCCTATTTTGCTCTGTTCTTAAAGAAACTTGCCTTTACTTCTTCGGGATTTCATTTTACGGTTTTCTTCACAACTGTGGACATCCCGAATCGCCAGTGTAAATTGCTCATTTGCTGTTCAACCAAAACTATATCTATTCTTTCTGCACTTTGTTTCTTTTCTATTCCATCTCGTTCTATTCTTCTTCAGTCATTTTTCTCTATATTATCCCACATTTACGCCTATTGGTTTCCGCGTAGCCCACAATTTCGAACATCGCTTGTCTTTTTAGAGAAGTTCTTTTAGAGAATTAAATCCTCTTTGTAATTGATCTCCATAAGCTCTCGACTAAGGACCTCTTCATGCTTCGTTGAACTCTACATCCCATATTTGAAGCTGATTGGATTTCATGTGCCATTCTACACAATATTGTATCTTCTTCAGGCTCTACCAGCTTCTGTATGCCAGGCTGTGCAGGAAAATTTCCTAGCGCATTGGATCCATATCTACCTTCTTCTTCTAATCAGCCACAGGCAAGTGGATCTGATTCGCTAGAAAACCCGAACAGATCTGCCGCTGAATGCAGAAACAAGCTATGAGCGCCACTCGGAACGAGAAGTCAACACCGATTGCGCAACACTGGGGGAACCTTGTCCCACACGATGACATAATTCGCAAAGGATTTAGGTCCGAAAATATCCGTACATTCCAAAAGGCCGACCTCCAGTAAACCTCGGCATTGTTAGTTAAATTATCTCTTACTAAGCATCTTTGTTGAGGTAACACGTAGCATTCAAATAGTTTTTTTTAATTCGAGGTACTATGGAGTGGATTTTTGCACGATCTTCAACGAAGAGAATAAGCATAATCGCAAATGAATCGGACATAATGCCGAGTGGTTGCGATGGCTCTGATGTGACTTAAATAAAGTTTCCGTCACTCATAAATAACAAGCAAATTTCGCCATGTTCAACATGTGGATATGCTAGCGGAGAGAGTGTGGACTTAGAATACACAATAACTTGTGAGGGACGGCCTATATATCTCCGTGGTATGAAGGGTTTGGACGGGCATAAAGCCGACGAGCTAAGAAAAATCTGTGTGCGAGTGGCACTTCATTGCTTTTGGCCACACACTACCAATTCGAACATGAAAACTTTGAAGTATGCTCATTCAACGTGAGAGTCGACTTACTGAGCAAAGGATTCTATTGCAGGACACGTTTCCGTGGGATCGTCTACCGAAAGAGCTGCAGGTGAAAGTGCTAGAACATCTACATCGCCGAGATCTTAGTCGATGTCGAACGCTTAATCGCGAAATGTTCGCCACCATTAAAGCCAACGAGCGCTCAATGAGAAAGAGAAGTCTGGAACTCGTACGCATTGAACGGGTACAGATGTATATAATTCAGTACTAAATAGTAATGGAAATGCTATTAAATACGGTGGTTGCTTCCAAAGGCAATGATAACATTGGTGATAACAATGGTATTAATAATATTTTAGTTCATTGACAAACTCATTTAAATTTTTTACAAAGCTTTATTGAGACGTGTCCACCTTCTTCGGAGTCGCGATGACTCGAGACGAGTGTTCACAGCAGTTGTATTTCGAGACCTGTGAGCCTTCCTATTATCACGTGGACTTCAATCTCGTGAAGTGAAGCACTGCATTGCTAAGCGGGTTCACCCAGACTGACTTTTCATACATACACACTTGAATACTTGGACGGCCCGTCTTCACTGGTTGTGCAGGCCCCAGCATACATTTTTCGGAGCATTGCTGGTTTAACCATTCTGTTTCCTCGGACCCCCGAGGTCACCCTGGCCAAAGTCTGCCCCAGGTCGTCACCACCACAAATAATCGCAGTCCTTGTGGATCAGAGGGAGATTTACCACTATGCGACTAGTTTGATACCAGGATGGTGGTCGATCCTGGCATTGTTTAACTCTTAGCTGGGGTTCCTGATGGAAATGCCGGACTCCTTCTCAGCTTGGAAGACCCTGTCGTGGGGATGAATTCCCCGCCGTACATCGCAGCACGACACCCAGGACCTCCCAGCCCACTATGAGGCGGTAAACCGTTGAGAGGTTTCATACATACAACAATAATCAATAAAGATCATCCCATAGTTTCTTCATATGGTCCAGCCTCACATATTTTTCGTTCCTGCACTTCTTTCATTCGATTAATCTTCTCGGAATTCCTTTGTTATTCATCAACGTCTTTAAATTTGCGTGTGGTTTCGGGAGCCATTTAAGGATTTTGATTTCCTCACGGATGTAGTTGAACTCTTCCCCGAATCTTGGGGTTACCGAGTCAGAACATTTTCGTATCGTCACCGCAGGCGATCACTGGGTTTTATGGATCGGAAGCTATTCTCGTCCAAGACTGGTACTAATTTCAGCACTGAGGTAGGACAGAAGCCTAGGATGGTCTGTTGAGAGATCAAATCAGTGACTATGCTTTCGCACGGTATCTTTAACCACTAAGCTTCTCGCACCTCAAAAGTAGTAATATCCAGCCAATAGTAATATCAATCATAGTTATCAATAGTTGGTAATAATTATAACAATAATAATAATAATAATAATAATAATAATAGCAACAATAATAACAATAATAGTGATAATAGTGATGTTAACTTTTTATTTGCTGCCTTCTATAACTTTCCATGGCAAGGTATTATGCAAGATATAACCACAATGGTGCTGAGATATTTGCAAACTCCGGACGGTAGGTGCCTGCAGTAGGGAACGAACGCGTTATTACCCTTTCCGACGGCTAACGCGTTCACCATCACACCATGGGAGTCCTTCGTGGCTTGTCCCTCAGCTAGTTTTTTTGTCTATCAGTGCCATCAGCAATCACTAGTCAACAGGATTGTTCTGAGCAGTTCAAATCGGCTTTGAGCCCAGTTAAGCTGAGCCTGTAGTTGAAATCACAATGTTAACTTAAAGGCTAATAGCGCGTTCGATCCCCACCGCGGACACCTATGATGGAGTTTTTCAAACATCTCAGCACCATTGTGGTAATCGTATTAATGCTAATAATAGTAATAATAATAGCAATAATAATAGTAATAATAATGATATTAGTCGCGTGCGTCTTGTTAGTAGTAACGAGTACTTTTTTCACATAGTTAGTGAGTTTGAAATACTACGTGGCTTTCAAACGACTGCGAGAAAAGGAAATTATTTGCATGAGCATAGAAATTTACGAAATCTCCCAACGCTTCGATATTTTCTATCGATTGCTTAACTCCTTTATATTCAGAAACTCCAGGTTATGTCAATTATTCAAGAGGGTCTTAGAATATAAGAAGTTGTCAGTTTAGTTCTTTGAAACTCCGTTTTTAGATCGGTCAGGGTAGAGTACAGTTGTCGATGAGATGCCAGGAAGAGGGAAAGAGCATGAAATGGGTGGCTTGTCAGAAAAGAAGACGCCGCTATCCTCTCGAGCTTTCCAATGACACTAAGGTACTTTGCCCCTGTGCTCTAGTTCATACCGCTTGTCTTTTCCGGCTATAGCTTTGTAATTTTAGAGCGATCTTTTTTCACGCGAACCTCATTAGAATTGTCTTGCGACGAACATCCCTCGACTGTGTGAAATATCGAGAAGTTTCTGGAAGTGCCTTAAAACTGAGGAAGCTCTGCTTCTTTGGAAAAAAGAAATAGTGAATATATTCCGCCTGTTATGAATGTTTACTAAGCCGCTTCCATAACACATGCGACAGGCCCTAAATCACAAAATCTCTAAAAAGCAGTTAGCTGTTTCATTGATAAGTACACACCAGGTTGTTGTTATACTATCTATTCACAAAAGCTGACGTTTCGGCAGGATTCGCTTTCATCAGAGCGTGGAAAGGTTAAGTTCACTGCAGTCTAGTCAGCCAAGTAGCTCCATACTTGATACTTGATATTTGGATGGCCCGTCCTCACTGGTCTTGAGGAGCCCAGCACAATCTCCATTTTTTCGGAGCCACTGTTAAGTTTCGGTTAAGCCACTGTGGTTCCCTGGAATCCCGAAGTAAGCCTGGCCAAAGTCTGCCCTGGGTCTTCATCACCACAGGCAGTCGCAGCCATTGTAGATCAGAGGGAGATTTGCCACCATGCGACTTTGATACCAGGACGGTAGTGGATCCTGATGTTGGTTTACTCTTAACTAGGCTCCCAGATGGAAACGCCGGACTCCACAGCTTGGAAGACCCTGCCAGGGAGATGAATTCCACCGCTTTACATCTCAGCCCGACACTCAGGAACACCTTCCAGCCACGATGAGGCGGTAAACCGTTGGGAGGGTTCCTCCATAACCCAACAGAAAAACAATGAAACCTTGGTTTAAATCGTATTGGAAACAACGAAAATCGGTAACGAAATGGCTTTTTTGCACAACACTTCTTCCTACTCCAGTAGGCACCCAAATGGAGCTGTCGCGGTTTCTGTAGAGTTTGACGGCTAATGTTCAAAATGGATAGAATATGTAGATATCCGCTAGTATAATTTTTGAGTAATGGACGCTTTTACTGAAAGCACAACAACAGAAATGATATCCGATGTTTCTCTTCAATAAGCAGACACGAGGTTGTTATCATAGAATTTATCAGGATGCAATAGCTGACATTTCGGCGGTTTCGCCATCTTCAGATCCTGGAAAGGTCAAATTGAGATGCGATCTACCCGGCCAAACACTTTCACAACCCCAGCAGATAAAACTTGACAAATAAATTTGTATTTGCATAAGAAACAGCTTCATTTAAGCACCTACCGTTTGTTTGTTGTAAGTATTTAAGTTAGTTGATGGATAGCAGCCGCACAGAGTAATACATGGGCGATAACTGTGTCTGTGTCAAGTCATTGGATTAGCCTGAGGTATGGCGGACTCTAAATACATTTCTATCTAGCTATGATTTAATTTATTCAGCAATCATTCGTATGAATTTTATACCATGAGGGAAGGTGGTGGGATTCTTTCCTCGATTCCATTTATTTCGGGAGAGCTGGTAGTAGAGCAAAATCGTGATAGCACTTCTTTAGACTTGCTTCTCTTCGGCGGCTAGGATAGGTTTTTCCCTTAAAGTTCAAAGGAAGCCGTAAGAAGGCGCTTCCAATTCGATCATTGCAGAAAGTCATGGTACTTATAGATCGGGAAAGATTTATCGCTCTGCGAATACGTTTCCCTCAGAACACCGGCGACATTCGAATTGTTTTACTTTCATATCTCAACTATAGATTGTACTTCCGGATATAGTTGTCGAACTCTTTTTCAGCTCTCGTAAACTGCTCCAAGACTGGAATCCTCGTTGTTATATCCCTAGCCGACGTAAAGAAACGCGTTTAACCCAGTCACGATGAAATAGTAAAAAAATAAGATAAAGCTTTCGGCGTTGATCAATGCCTGAGGGATGCACCATGCATTCGACTTCACTAAGCATAGTTTGGACGTGACTGAATGCATATTTGGCCCTTGCAATGAATAGCGGTGGCCCGTCGATGTATCGAGCCAGTGCTGCTATCCTTCCAGACATATCTGACATGCCGAGAAGCTACAGTTTCGTAACCATTTGAAAGGGTTATTTGGAGCGGCAGTCTCGAGGATTCTTCCTTGTGATCTCTACCTGTGCACACGCTTCCAACAGTTCGAAACATATTTCTTATAAGCGCCCTCTTAGTGCGTGAGGGATGAGAGGAGAGGTAACGAACCACTATATTCTTACTGCTTGGCTTTCGATACCATTTTGTGTTGTAGCCTTCTTCGGATAGGTTGATTTAGGATAGATTGAATGGTTACGAAAATGTAGCTTCTCGGCATAGGCACGGAAAAAAACCCACGCCCCAGAGCGATAATTCTAGCGAAAACAAAGTTCCGTTCCTCTTGCCCTTTATTTCAAACGAAATAAGTTCACCTATAAAACGTTACTTAATAAGAGCCAGTCTAGAGAATTCCGTAAGGGTGATAGAAATACCATCGGTCACTCTAAGACGCCAGCTAGTTCGCAACCGCCTATGTAACCGTCTACGTGTAACGAAAAACTGCACAATTTGCCCTAACGGTAGAGGCGGTGATTGCATGAGTTCGGGTACAGTCTATCTGATCTCTTGTAAAGCGTGCGGGGACGAATACGTTGGCGAAACGGGTAGGCCACTCTGCGTACGTATAAAAGAACACCTAGTCGGTAAATCTAAANTATGTAACCGTCTACGTGTAACGAAAAACTGCACAATTTGCCCTAACGGTAGAGGCGGTGATTGCATGAGTTCGGGTACAGTCTATCTGATCTCTTGTAAAGCGTGCGGGGACGAATACGTTGGCGAAACGGGTAGGCCACTCTGCGTACGTATAAAAGAACACCTAGTCGGTAAATCTAAATTAAAACCAAACACTCCACTAGGCGCGCATAGGATGCAGAAACACAACGGAGAAGATCTTGAAGTGGGAGTCACTATCCTCCCGCACGAATCGACAGCATCAGCGCGTAAAACCCTTGAAGCGTTTTGGATCAATTCCAAAAATTCAAAAATGAACCGCAAGGAGTGTCTTGTCATCACGCGTGACCTGGCGCCATACCTCAGGCCAATCCAATGACTTGACACAGACACAGTTATCGCACATGTATTACTCTGTGCGGCTGTATCCATCAACTAACTTAAATGCTTGCAATAAATAAACGGTAGGTGTTTAAATGAAGCTGTTTTTTATGAGAATACAAATTTATTTGTTAAGTTTTATCTGCTGGGGTTATGGAAGTGTTTGGCTGGGTAGGTCGCATCTCAGTTTGACCCTTCCAGGCTCTGAAGAAGGCGAAACCGCCGAAACGTGAGCTATTGCATCCTAATAAATTCTATAAATAACAACCTCGTGTCTGCTTATTGAAGGAAAACATCGAATTATCAATCAATGCCAAGGTTAAAAAGTCGGTCTTGAGAAATGATAACTATTGAGAAAACCGAAATATTCGCTGCAATTCATTCATTTCGTTCCAGAAGACGTTAATTCATCTGTACCAAAATGCTCCTGCCGCCTCGCTTGATGCCGCCTCACTCCTTACTGACGAGCAACACGAATACATTTCCTCGTCTGAAGTGCCTCCGATAATCATCGAACGATTGGCGGAAATCGCCAAAGGCAGTGAAATTGATCGATTGCGAATCAATGAGGTTTGTCGAAGAACCTAAACCCTCGAAATCCATCGTCTAAACATTTCAGTAACGCGAATCGCACTTTTTCCTAAATGCATCACTATGGTGGTTGCTCCAAGGTGAAAGAGATTAAATGGTACTGTGGTTTTAGATGGAACTCTCCGACACGACGCTCTCCTCGATCTCCACTTGCCTTCGGCAGTCGTCGTGCCGTGTTCGTCTGCTCACCTTCGAGTTGAGCTCTTTGGAGTCCGTCTCTCCCTCGGCTCTCTTTCGCTTCGTCTCAGACGTCGCCCCAGCAGATATCGTTCTGCGTATGCTCCGTGGATGCCGCGCAGAGCACTTCGAAATGGCTATGTGTCGATTCATCACCTCCAGACGATTCTTCAGTGTATCTGAGCTGGTAGACATTGAGGGCAACGACGTCTCTATGCGGATAGATAGTATCCTTCTTGCCGAGCTGAAAGCGACCACATTCCAGATCTCCACTCCGAACTTCATCAACGCAGAGGGTCTACAGCAGTTTCTGAAGGTCAGTTCCTTAGCAGTTTTAACATCTACTTTGTTGCCTTCTCCTTCTTCTAATCTCATAGATGAATTTGTTTTAATTATTTTCCACAGTCATTTCCGCTCCATTATGGCTGCTGTATAGGGGCGCATGTAGTGCAGTGGTCGAAGGCGCCCTGCAACACACGTGGAATTGATCCCCGCGCCCATGGCTCACCAAGCCTTCCATCCCTCCGAGGTCGACAAATTGGTACCAGACTTGTCTGGGAGGATAACAGCTGCTCGATACATCGGTAGTCCATCGCGAGTCATTGTAAAGGCCAGATATGCATTCAATCAACTCAAGACTATGCTTAATGAAGCCGAATGCATGGCGCATCCCTCAGGGATTGATCAACGACGAGAGCTTTATCCTTTTATTTATGGCTGCTGCATATCTTGTTTATCGCATTGGGATTCACAGCAGTCAACTCTTCCCTATTATGAAAACCTCTAGAACAAACCCAGGCTGCACTAGAATATGGTGTAATGCTCGTGGCTATCTGCTCACGACGAATAGTAAAAGCAAGGTCTCGGCAAAAAAAGTATGGGGCTTTTGTGTCTCTCGTGCATGCCTAGCCCACTGGCTACTTTTGGCGAGCGTTTTAAGGAACACGGAAACTAAATAACATAATTTTCCCCCCTAAAGGTAAAAGATAGAAACGGGGCACAATTAATATCAAAAATCCCAGTACTGTACTTCAGGAAATCAAATACTGAAATATATCACATGTTTCTGCTATATCTTATATCATTATTTCCTCCTTACAGACACATTTCACACAACTAGTAGGCAGAAAGAAGTCTTTCTATCTCTGACCCTTATGAAAACGCCAACCAGAAATAATGTTGTTCCAATAATCACCTAAATTTTTGCTCTCTGAGAAACATTTCAACTCTATACTAGTTGTCTTGGCAAGAGATTGAGTTTTAGTAGAATGAAATGAATTGAAATGTTTTTTTAACCAGCAGCCATAATCTATTCGGTTTAAAAGGGTTTAAATGTTAAAGTAATCGTCTTCAATTAATATCTTACGATAGAGTCATACACTTGATTCTACTAAGTATTATAGATAACCTACAAAATGACTTGTTAGGACCTACCGATGTACTAAGTCTGTCTTTTTAGCATCCAATAATTATCTGATAGCAATTTTTCGACCCCGAAGCGGTAGAGGGCTTCCTTTGCCCAGGGCGCGGGGTCAAACCATGGACCTTGTGGATAGTGCAAGTGCAGTCCCCTGTATGAATTAATAATAGTATCTGCAACATTATAGCAAGAATAGGTTACGCTTCACACTTTTGGTGTGTAAATCCAGAACTGAATCCTTAATCTGTTCTACTAGAAGAACAGGAAGAATGAAGCCTATTAAGACATAGTGATATCAGAGTAGAACTTCATAGAATTTGACAGCGATGTTCTATTGGTGGTGGTTGGCCAGTATTCGAATTCTTGGCCAGTATTCGAATTCTTGCAGGCAGTGGCGAGCGGAACGCGACAAGTGGTGGCTGCGCGCATCCAGACGAACTTCCCGCTGGACGGGCTCTGCATTCCGGCCGCACTGAGTCACAAACTACTCATCAGAGACAAGTGCACTCTGGATATCTGCTCGTCTATAGACTTCAACTCGCTGCCGGTCGACTCTCTTAGCACATCAGTCATCTAGGTCCTGTACAAAGGAGTCATATAAGATCTTCTTTTGCGAATGATGTATATATGAATGACGTATATCTGCTGTATAATGACTTAGGTTTTTAAAAGTATTTAATATTCTTGTTTTATTAACCATTAGGAATGAAAAGTTATTCGGTTGGGATTTCCACTCACTATATGAAAGGAATCGAATGGTGTCAGTGGAATTCGAGAGCAGGGTTGATTATTGTCTACGTAAAATGAAAGGGATCCAGTATTTCAAAAGCTATTTCTATGGTTTTCTCTCGAAGTACAAGATTGAGAATTTATAGTAGGATCGCTCCATTTCTTATTATATAACACTATATTAATTTCTTCTGATATTCTATTCTGCAGTATGTTCTCAGTTTCGGTGAAGAACAGAGCAATCATTTCGCTCTTGATTCATTCGGCGATAGTTCATCATTCGACGTCTCTTAGTAACTCAAAACAGCGAAATTCTATAAACCTCGACATAGATAGTTGATATATTTATTTATATGATTTTATAAACTGATCTTCTTTAGCTGATGAGTGGTTGGCACAGATTTGGCACAGTGCTCAAATCTTCAGTAACAGGAAGCAATAATGTTCAATAATCCTCGATAATCTCTTGGAAACGGAATTTAATTTTTGAAAACTTACGACGTCGTAGCGGCAGCCAAACGCATCAACGACACATTGGGTGACAACTCCAATCCTTGTTTGACGAAACCCTTAAGCCGCTTTAGTGCTTAAAATACGAGGGTTTGCAAAAAAGTGAGCAGATTGCTTTCGCAGGGTCGAAGAAATCGGGAATTCATATTGGTAGAATAAGACAACGTGGAACTCTCAGGCGAAATCCGTAGATTCTAAAAGTTTCCATTTTAATTAACAGAAAATGCTCAGCGTGAATTGCCTACAATGCATTTGGTGCGAAAAGAGAGAACATTTTCAATTTCGAGCCGAAATGTCTCGTTTAAGCAAAATTATTTTAATTACAACCAAAAGCGATGAAGCGATTCTCCATTTACCTTTAATTACAGCAGATAAATCTACCTGAGCAGGAACAGCAAGAATTTTGTTTGAAGCTATACCCCAAAAATAAAACAGAAGCGAAGCTGTGAGCCTGGTAAGGAAAAAAGCAAAAAACTAGAGCTATCGCTCAGTAAATGGGAAATATTATCGGGTGGAGGAGAACTTATTGACCTGATGTAGTTCTTTCTTTGTGCGATAGCTAGTTTGAAGTACGTTCACTCCAATAAATACGCAAGGATTAGAACCTTAGTGGATTGACTGCATGGAGGTCTGAGTCAATGAGAACACCGCGTGGAAGAATACCTCCTTAATTCTTAAAGTGGGACGAATTACTTCACACACTTTAACTGCTTTTCTGTACGACTATGCCAGAAAAAGCTTGAAGCTTATTGTTATAAACATTATTACTATCATTATTCAGTCGCGTGCAGCGCATAGATTAGAAGTGTGTTGCGATATACACGTGATCCTCGGTTCGATTCTTCGCCACTGGCTCACCAAGACTTCCATCATTCCAGGGTCGACAAATTGCAAACAGACTTGTCTGGTTGAATAGCAGCGCTCAACTAGCAAATTGCTAGGCCACCGCAACCTATTGTTTAGACCAGATGTGCATCCACTCACTCCGTAGATCCACAGGGCTCGCCGAGGCATCACCCTCTGAGGAAGAGCAAATTCACAAATTGCTGTCGGATATCTCTCAAATTAGACGCGGGAATTATCGGTTAAAAGTAACTTCAACTTATCCACCTTTAATTTCAAAATTAATTTATTTTGTACTTTTGTCTGAATCGACGTGAAGGATATAATTCACATTGACGCAAGCTATTCGCCGAAGCAGAATTAGTCCTGTGAACGCTTACATCTCAAGATGGAGAGAGATATACGGCCACTTTCGGTCCGTTTAGTCTATAACGGACGCGCGCCATTTAGCGTGGCACTCCGAATGAAATACGAGCAATTTTTTCGTCGGCTGCAAATTTTCTGATTTTTTTTTGACAACAAAAAATAGTTTTCAAAAAGTGCTGGGATTAAGACGTCTTGAAGATAACAGGATTACAAAGGAAACTTTCTTCTATCGTTTTATAGATATGAAAGTTATGTTTCCTACCATGTATTCTGTGGTACTATGAACCATCGTTTAAAAACATAGTTCCTTACATTTGAAAGGTTTTGCACGTTATCGTGTAGCGAAGTGGTCGGACACATCCTACAATACATATGGGATCAATCCCCGTGATGTAGGCTCACCAAGCTTTCCATTATTCCGGGATCGGTAAATTGGTACCAGGCTTGTCTGGGAGGATAGCAGCACTGGCTCGATACAACGGTAGGCCACAGCGAGTCGTTGTAAAGGCCAAATATGCATTCAGTCATCTCTAACAGTGCTTAATGCAGTCGAATGCATGGCGCATCTCGCAGGGATTGACCAACGCTAAGAGCTTTTCTTTGTTTTTTTTTTCAAAGCTTTTCTTCTAAAAGTTTACATGTTGTGTTGAGTATATTTCTGTTTCTTTTACCCGCACTTTCCATTCGATACCCATAACGATTAAAATGGAATAGCAGTTAATTGTTAACCGAACTTTTTCGAAAAAGGCTTTTTCGTAAATCATTAAGATCACAGCATGATTTCTCTTTCCCCACCCCTACTATTTTTTGGAATGAATGTACATAGTGCGGAAAAAACTCTGGAACGCACTAAAGTGAAAATAGGCACTACAGTGCCCATCCTGTCTCCTGGTCCAAATGCTCATGGGGATTAGTGTGCATACCGGGTTTTACGGCCCAACACCCTGTGTACCACCTGGGAGCCCATGATGTAGCTTTATGAATAGCCGACACTAGCTTAGTGGGTGGGCTATTAATTTTATTATCGTTGTTATTTTCAAACTATGCTCCACCAAATGGTAATGAATTCGCAATTTTCTTTTGACTTTGACTTCGTCTAACTTCCCATTCGCTTAGTTTGTCTTCGTATTGTTGTTAAGCAAACACGAGGTGCTACTTTATTCTTTATTCCCTTAAAGCTGACGTTTCGGCGGATTTCGCCTTCCTCAGAGCCTGGAAAGGTCAAGTTGACAGCAATCCACTGGGCCAGACCCCTCTATAACCAAACAAAGGAAACGCTAAACCAAGATTTCAATCACATTGAACACAGAGTCTTTGCACATTCATCGCTTTCTACGAATCTTCCACTAAATATGTCACGTGGAGACCAACAGCACATAATTCACATGGGAGCGTAATGTGCCCTCCCATCAGAATGACAGTCTTATATACTGCTTAATATCACGCGTGATAATGAGGCATCCTTCACTTAGTTTGTTTTTTTTGTCTACACTTGAATAGAACAAACAGAAGCATCGAAAAGGGAGGAGGTGAGTTAGTTGAATCTCTCCATGTTGAATAGCTCATTGCAAGTGCATAACCACTTCTACGTCTAAGCCAGGCCCCGTTTTTAAAAAGTACAAGGTAAAATGTACTTCAGACATTTGCAGCAGTTCTTGCTTACCTTTCCGTCTTAACTCTTGCTGCTCCTATTCAATTTTCTAACAAAAGTGATCTTATCAGTCTAAACGATGATTGCTCTCGATGTTTCTGGAATTTCATCTTTGTCGGATATTTTTCCTAATGTCACGCGATTCTTCCAACCGGGACAGCCGTGACGGTTTGTGCAACACAAAAAGACAAATGGAATAGCGCGGGAGATATTATCTGAAACAATCACTGAGACGTAAGAGATTCCATCTACGTGGCTGGGCAACTGCCTCCACTGCATCATGACAGCTGAAGGCGTACCGCTCTGCCGATTTGCACTGCTTCAATGAAATAATGAAGTAAGGTAAGGGGTAATCACAGACCACTGACCGGTTTCAGAGGTTCTGTGGAATTGGTCTAATCGTAGATAGTTTCGGAATGGGAATATCGAATTTCTCTCTAGACTGGGTTATCTTGATGGGAAATGAGCCCCATTGCAAATCACAATCAGATACTTACAAAGACCCTGTAGCCGCCAGATCGGGACGCAACTGAGGACACTGCTGGACCCAAGTCATAGCAAAGTGGTACCAGCGAAACAGAATGGGTAAAAGCTAATTTTTTACAGAATAGTAACGTGTTCTTCCTAATAACCTTGCAAATAGTAATTATTGTTTCACGTTTACTTCTAATATAATTGCAGTGCTTGGGCAACATCTTCTCTATTGTAACGAGGTCTGAAGTAGTTCCTGAAGTTATTATGTATCATAACACTTTAATTAAATTGGATAATACTATTAAACACTGACATACTGACAAAAGCTAGCAATAGCACCTCCACTAATAGTTTCATTTTCATTCCTCATCTAACTGAATGCTCACCCAAATTTAAAGGATTTTCAATTTTCAGAAGCAGTAGAAGATCCAGACCGCTTGCTCCTTGATTTGCACGACGCTTGTAAATCGACATGTCGTCTCATACAGTCGTCGAACATCTACCTTGCTCACATTTAAGCATCCACGTGAAACTCGTCCGTGAAATGAGTTATCCTCTACTACAAGTTCCTTTCGCACAGCCAGAATTTATCCTTTTGTCGTACGAGGGGCAGACGGTGAGGAACAAAATGACATTTAGTCTGATATGAAGTTAAAATCCTACCAATGCACTGTATAGCTTTCACTATTATAGTATTATCACAATCTTGTCTTTCCACCATTACTGTTAACCGATGATTGCTGATAGCACCGTTAGAATAGAAAACTGGCCAAGAGAAATCCAAAGCAAGGACCTCGGTTGGCCCGATGTATAGCATTTGATCCCTCGGAAAGGTAATCGTAGGTTCGAATCCCACCGAAGGCTATCGGTTTTGCTCATATCTCGGCATCATTGTGCTTATTTTTGTCCCACTTCTGTTAAGCAAGTATTCTAAAATTTTTCGCAAATTTAAGGTGGGATGTTTGTATTCTCAATACGTACTTCGATACGTCGGGAATGTGTCGCCAACGTTAAGAATGGCCAAAAAAATTTCTGCTTTCTTTGACAGCGAATTTATGAAAGCCACAGTGTTAGAGACGTGTTTAGAGCGACGAGGCGTGGTGTGGATATAAGCTAGTGCTTGTATCCAACAGACACAACCTTTATGACAGGTACATGGTGTTTGAGCACTTAACCCTAGACGCATCGGTCAGACCAGCTCAATGTGCTGTGATTCTTGTCTCAGATCCGATGCTGTCTTTATTCTAAATAAGCGCAGTGGTTTAAAGTCGCAGTATAAAGCTACACGACAGGGCACAATTTTTATATGTAAATCCATTGAGACACCTAATTTAGGTTTAATAGGCAGATGTACAACTAGCACTACCGAACACCTTCGTAACAATCTCACCGAAAAATTCCAGATCGAAAATTTCACACCTACGATTAACAGCTTTCTGTACACTTATCGTTTTTGACGTCCACTTTTTAGGAACTAAGACTGCTTTTGAACGGTGCATAATTAAGCGAGAAATCTACTCACTCAAGCCAGAAATTACTTTTCCGAAACTCACTTCCATTTAACCTCTGCATAAATAAACAATATTTTTCTGGATTACTGCGCTGACACGAGGTTGCTAAAAACGATGAGGGCGTGAAGAACCGCAGTGGAAGGCTGAATGGCTGTAGACAATTAAGTCGAATGATTGTGGATTTCAACAAGGAAAGAACGCTAAAACGTTAACCACAATGAAGTTTTTTAACAATCACATCTAAGGTTGATAATTGATAAAACAATCACATAAAGGTTGATAATCTCGGCAAGCTAGGCAGAGATGTGAGACGAAATGACGTGCAATAAAGCTTTGAAATTTAAACTCTTGTAGTTGTTTTTTGAGCTTTTGGAAGCGCATTTTAGGGATGCGGACATTCTGCGCCCCCATTTCCAGCCCCATCAGCCGATGGTGGGACGCCCGCCGACTCGCCAACAGGGCGACCTTGGGCCCTGTTCATCTCACTTCGTCACCTACGCATGCCGTTCCTCTTCACCACATTCCGGTTCTTCCTACTATTCACCGTTCGACTCGTCATCACAGAGTTCGTTTTTTCATTCGGTTGTTATGCATGACTAACATTGCTGCAAATCTACGTATATTCACTGTGGAACGATAAAACAGTCCTTACAATTTAAACGGAATGATCTTCAATGATCGTTGAAATGGTGACGGAAATTTGTAACATAAGAATAGTCAAAGGGATCTACCAGTGATCTACTATGAACGCTCAGCTCACCTGTGGCATAACACCAAGTTCAAGTAATCTCCAAAGTTCCAGCTAGGCGTAAAAAACCGGTATAAGGTTTGGCAATTGATACTAACATCGCTTTCTTTACCAGACCGATATCCCTCATGTTACTGTAGTACCTCGAACAGTGAAAACTGAAAGACCATGGAAAAAGGATAAAACATTCGGCGTTGATCTCTCCCTGAGGGATGCGCCATGCATTTGTCCTCACCAATCATCGTTGAAGGTGACTGAGTGCATATCTGGCCTTTACGACGACTTACAGTGGCCAACTGATGTGTCGAAGCAGTGTTGCTATCCTACCAGACAGGTCTGGTACCAATTTCCGAACCCGGAGAGATGGAGGGCTTGGTGGGACTGGAGCGCAGAGGTCGAACCTATGTGCACTGCAGGGCTCCTCTGAACTCTACGCTACATGCTCCTCTAAAAAATTCTTCGGAAATGGTAAAATACCTATCCATGTGATTCATGACAACTGATGGTTCGTGAGAAGCGCTCCCATCATAGGAAAGTAGCCATGTGTCATCGATCATCCTGAAAGGCACATCTGACAATCTGCACAATCCACTGTGCTTTAATCATGATTTTTTTCCACCTTTATTTGATATTAAGTGCTTTCAGAGTATTGCCAACAAGATTCTAGCTTCACAATGTAAACAAATTTGGGCGTAAAAGATCCCATTGATTCTGATTGCAATATGCAAGGGAAGGAAGGCCAGACCGGCGGCTGTGAATGGATGTCAAGTCATTTTCTTTTCTGTCTTTTAATCTGCTGCACAGGTGTTTGCTGCACTTCCTGCATTCATTAAATAAATTATGCAACGCAAAACAGTAGGCAGGTATTGCACCGGAAGAGTCACTCTCTGCACTTAATAAAATTCAAAAAAGCTACTTTTCGCATGAATTTGCTCATCATGCCACGGAAGACCCTCGATGAGGAGATGCCTTAAGACGGATAATATTGCACATCGGACACCTTGAATTGAATACAATTCATAGTTCATGCAAAGAAAAAATAAACACTGATTAGATGTGGTAACCACACTAGATTAAGCGCATCGCTGTAACCGTTAGAGTACTTCGGATTTTCGCGTCTAATTTTGGTGTCTGTAAGTAAGAGACTCTCGTTAACCATTCCACCATATGTTCAGTGGTATCCAAATTAGAACATCATATGTGGTGGTACAACCAGACCACTTTCGCTAGACAGCGGACTCGGAGCTGGAAGCGAGGATTGTTCACGTTACTCTTCATCAGACTGAAAAAGAAGTGCGCTAACAATTTTGGTCAAGATATACTCTTTTAATGAAATTTCCACCATACAACGAAGACTAAGACAATGCACAAATCCGCCCTCCACAGTTATCCACATTGTAATAATGTACGTATCCCATCAAAAATGGCTATAACAGGACGGTGGTACGAGCTTATCCACTGATAAATTTTTCAAGCATCGTCCAAAGCGCTGAAGTTTCGCATACTTTCTCATTCTTCTTCCTTATCAAGTGTAAACCAACAATAAGACCGGATTATTGTGTACCTGCAAACGTTTAAATGAAACTCTGCGCTTAAATGTAGGATCACCTTTAGGTGCGATTTGTATAATATCTTTATGTAACAGTGACGTCTACTGCACCTACTACCGTGAAAGTTACACCAGTGTAAGTTTTCAGGAACGTCTACTGCACCTACTACCGTGAAAGCAACGAGATTACATGCGGGTGGGTCCTCTTCTAAGCCGATCCAAGCACAAAGTGCTGAAGGCGACGATCCGTCACATGGCTGTGCAGTACGACTCGATGAGTCCTGCTGCGTCAGCACATCGCTTGTGACGGACGCGTTCAACACAAACACATTCGCGTTGAAGCTTGTTCTTCAATAATTACAGAGAATTTCCCGACATCTCAAATAATTTGAAGAACTGCGGATTTACTAGACCCATATAAAATAATGGCTGTTCTAAGCCTACCAGTTTTTCAGGATTTGAATTCTAAAAAATTCTAAAATTGAAACAGTACTTTATAAAAGCTTTGCATAATCTCACTCTAATCATGATGCGATACGACTACATAACTTCTACCGGTCTACCAAGTTCTCAGCTACCAAGCATTTTGGTGTCCAACAAATTGTAAATAAATAAACTCAAAAAATTGACGAAAACCACCATTAGGTCTTATTCTCTGAAGATGTAAGACTAAGTTATGATATTTCCGATCCCTTACGAATCATATACGGCTCAAATCCTCTCTATTTTTTGCACTACTTGCCGTTATTGAGTACTCGCATGCTTGCAACCTATTCTCGCTTTCAGGATCGTCACCTGCTCCACTGAAGTGCCACCAAATGCCGATCTTGAAAAGGAAGGTCTTGACGTGAAGCTCCCACGTGGATGGTGCGCAATAATTGATTCAAACAATTTTTAAAGAAAGCTATTGTGGCTTTTCAAAAAAAATGGACATTCAAGTATACGAAAATATTGCCCGTAATCACCTTCAACGAGTCCGAAAGCGGGTTTTCCACCTCAAAATTATGAACACAATAAATTTCCCATTCCGTAACTTTCTAATTAGTGCTAGTCCCAAGTGCTATTAAGTAAACTGCCCAGATTTATTCTAGGTTCACTAGGATTTATTCTAAATAATCCTTCAATGTCACTGAGAATACAACATCGAATAGTTCAGGTACCGGATAGGTGTGCAAACAATTCGTAACGACCACTCGTGGTTCAATCTATACCGTCGAAAAGCCACTGGTAACGGATACTGGGATTTCTATACGAATATTCCAGAACGGAATTGCATCGGGTTTGGTAATTTCTAGATTTCACCAATTTTCCATTGAGAAAAGCTGGCATTTTGGAAACATGATCATCATAGAGAATGCAAAAAAGTCCACAGACGTGCATAGGTGAATCATTTTTCGCACCAGAAATTTCCTGTTTAACTGTAACCTGAATTTCATGCCCTCTTGTAGCAACTATTAGGCGTCTAGGCATACCAATCGTAACTTGCTTTCCTCTCCCAACGGTTTACTGCCTCATCGTGGCTGGAAGGTGTTCCTGGGTGTCGGGCTGCGATGTAGGGCGGCAGGATTCATATACCTGGCAGGGTCTCCCAAGCTGAGGAGTCCGGCGTTCCCATAAGGAAGCCTAGCTAAGAGTAAACCAATACCAGGATCCACCACCGTTTTGGTATCAACGTCATATGGTGGCAAATCCTCTAATCCACAAAGCCTGCGACTGCCTGTGGTGGTGAGGACCTAGGGCAGACTTTGGACAGGCTGACCTCGGGATTCCAGGGAACCACAATAGCTTGGCCAATAAATCTCCGAAAATGGAGATTATGCTGGGGTCCGCACAACCAGTGAGAACAGGCTCTTCGCGTATCGAGGGAGTAACTAGCTTTTCTGAAGTGCAGAAGTACCCACGTTCTAGAAGAGTAATAAGTATAGCTCGCTTGAAACGTGATTCATAAACACACAAACAAGTGTGAACTTTAGAATGTTTTGCCATGCTAGCGAAATTCCGTACTCTCTTGATAGCTCTGGAGTTCTCCACTTATTTTCGCCAAGTCACCATCTTTGATGCTTATATTATTTCATCTTTGCACCAGTTCGTATGAAGCATTTCCACACATAGCAGACACGCTGCCTTTATCTACGCTGCCACTTTGTACTTGGATATTTCTTCGATAACTAGAGGATATGAGGGAGTTGTGAACATAACAGGATTGTAAGAGAGACTTCGATGTACCAAACAAAGGGTTTGAATGATATGCTTGCTACTATTTACTGTATGTTACTATAATCCATCATGAAAACACATTGGTACCAGTATGTGGAAGTTTGTAGCAATTTTTCTGTCTATTTCGGTATTTTTTTATATGAGCACCTATGATTCATTGTAGTGACTACACTGAAATAAGAATTAGGTGCTTTACTGATAGACGAACCCCGAAAAAATCTCTGTAATTTCTAAGCGCAAAGTAGAACTTTCCCCGACCCAAACTCCAAAAAATCCTTGTTTGTTAGACCATCCACTGACTACAAAAAGTGTAATAAGAGGGTCCTGTGTGCCAAAACAAACTAAACTATCAAAAAGGGAACGACCAACACAGAGCTCATACCGGTCATTTGCGGCACCGGGTCTGATTTATACAGATTGCATACCGTCCACAATGCTGATCTTTAAAAAAAACTTCACCATCATATGCCTTCTCTAAATCTTTCTATAATCTATTAATCTGCATTACAGAGGATTTGGTATCCATTCTGGAAAAAACATGGCAGCAACGGTGACCGTCAAAGACCCTGCATGCTTCTCAAAACTTGCAGATCAGGTCAGTGAGAATTACAAGAGAAAATAGAAGAGAAAAGTCCTTTGAAAAATCCAAACGTAATTTCAGATTGAAAAGAGGTCCACAATAGAAAAATTTGACGTATATCAATGCAGATATTGCATTTTTCACAGTTGTTGGCTGGGAACTCGGATACTCCCAGCTGCCCGGCAGTACACCACCAATCTACGAAGCTACTGAAAACCTTCTACTTCAACTTTTCGATTCATATTCGAATTTCTAACAGTTCTGTCAGATCACTACTTGGATTTTCTACCCAAGTAATGTTCCCTTCAACTAATTAAACACGAGTATCTTAATACTAATAACTGCGTGGAAAAACCGCTGGAACTGTATGAAATGAAGTCGTTCGAAAACAGTTCTTAGTGTTAGGCTGCTCAACTTGGGTTTCTCTACCCACAAGGAAGAAACCGTTTGAGCCCAATTTCTTTTTAATTTCGGCATTATCCACTTTGTAATGTTGTTGTCGTTTAATTGTTCTCAAAAACTAAAACTAGGGTGTGTGTACGCTCTTCGAACTCTACACCACACGTGACCAAAGGTTCGAACCGGCGCCCCGAACTAGCCAAACCGCTGATTCTTCCGTTGCTGGCAAATTGCCTGCGAGAATAAAACAATGATTTAATATTGGTAAGCCCACATACATGCTAAATGCAATCACCTCTACGATGCTTAAAGCAATCGAATGCATGACGCTGTAACACAGACTAGACGTAGACTGATCAACGCCGAACACTTTATCTTCTGTGCTTTAAAAACGTTAAGTAGAGAATCACAGCATTTGGAAAACAGTGAATTACTTTGGCCTTACACCTCCTCGCATCGTCACCAGCTCTTCAGCGCTAGTCGGATGAATAGCTACGCAGGCGTCGAACTGAGCTTTCGTAGCACCCATAGTCAATGCTACAGCGAACCCTTGCAGCATCTCATCAGCACCAGCACCCAGAACATGGATACCCACAACCTAAAGAAATCAACTTTTAGAACCAATACGACTCCAACGATATCTACTAATATTCAAAAAAATTAGATAATTATAACTACTATGGCTAAACGAATTGAAAACCCAAAGTAAATCTACACATTTTGCGTACTAATTGGTGATTTTCCTTCTGATTTGATTCAATATCAATAATACATTTTAACATAGACACTTGAGCTGCGGTAGAGCATTCCCGTTATCAAACCCATAGAGTGACGAAAGAAAGCAGAATCCCACCCTCGTTCACCGGAAAGGACAGCGGAACATGTATAGAGGCCCCGAAGGTATTTCTTCAGACTAGTTTTCAACATCTAAGATGTTTCTGCTTCTACAGATGCGTATCCTCTAGCAAAGAATTTCTGCAGCTGTGATTTATTATTAGCCGTGCTAAATGTTTTCCAGTAGGATCAACCATCGTATCTCACTCCTTATTGGTGGTAAACACCCGAACCGAACTTCTTTGATTAATTAGGGATGTTCACCACAACTTCCTTCAAGTCTCTCAACGAGTAGCTTTTAGTCTTCAGCGAAGTCCTTCTTGACCTGCCAGTTATTTGAAGACAGAATTTCGTAGAAAAACTGGCCATGCACTATTCGACTTCTTTTTCTAGATCGACTACAAGATATATTTTCAATTTGTCATTGAATCGAATCGTCGCACAGAAAAGGCGATGATGAGATCCGCATCAGAATGATGACACAATAAAGGTTTCAAAGAGGTACCATTTTCAGTTTAAGAAGATATGGTCGAACTCCGTACGAGTCGTGCCGTTATGAGACTCCCATGCGTAGCGTCGATTGTGTTTTCTCGAAAAATGAATTTTCGCGGAAGAGACTCCCGTAAACAGTAGCCCATCAAGACGGTTTGCACTCTCATTTCGATCCCGATCTCTTACATCAAATTTCCCGATTCCGTATTCATTTTCGTGAACCCCCCCCCCCCTCTCCTCCCGTCCCCTAACCCCCTAATCCGGTATTTAAGTCACGAACAACGAATCAATATCCATTATAAAACGGTGGCAAGAGTGAGGTTTCAAGGGGCACCATCTCCTATTTGTGAAGAATTGATCGACCTTCGCACGAGATGTGCCGTTGAGCGATTCCATGTTCAGCAACAAACTTGTTTCTTCTGAAACAATAAAATTCCACGGAATAGACGTCCTAGGGGTAGGGATATACCCGATCCTGTATTCGGCCCTTCGTAATTTAGTATTAAAGTCTCCGATGATCATTTCATAGGAATTCTAATTGTGGGTTGCCTCTCCTCATAGACTATGGAACGCATCTACAAAGGTTGGTGAGTAACAATGGTACTAGTCTTTTTTTCATAGGAAAATTGGAGACAGAGAATGACCAAGCAAGTTTGTAAGACCCCATATGAAAGGGCCTGATGGGTAACAGATGGGATATGTGACAAAGCTTATACCACCAACTTCCCGTGACGGAACTTTCCCTCCACGGCAACAGCCTCATTGTTTAATTGGCGCACGTCGGTCTTCCTTCCCCATGACTCTTGGAAGGCGAACAGACGAGATTTGTTGCTAGCTGTCGCGTCAAGACGAGCGTTACGATCGGCGTTTGAGAAGACGATCTTGATTTGCTGGTTAACAGCACAAAACTCTTTCCATAGCATATTAGCGACATTTTATTATGATCCCGTTCCAATACCGAGTACAACATGAGATTTGATCGTCTTTGATGAATGGTATCACTGTATGACATCGCAGGTGGAAACATCCATTTTAGTATGTTGAGAAGGCTTTATTATTGAATGAATTATTTCTTCTTTTCTTCAGAGCTGCTAAGGTTCCTTGTATTGACTTGCCCGTGCTGGACTTCCGGGTTGAAATGGTGAACTTTTTCTTAGCTTGGAAAATCCATCTGTGCGACAAATTACTCACTCGCACTTCAGCACTTAGGAACATCTATCAGCAGACGATAGAGTAATAGACTTTCAGGGTAAATAGTCAATAATTGCAAAAAGACAATGAACTAACTCCAAGAAATTCAATTCCGTTGCGAACAAACCTTTTCTTCGGGTCCTGCGCACACCAACTTCATTATGCAAAACTCCTTGTGCTTTGTTACAGCATGATACATCGGATTGAACTTCGACTTGTATATCATAACTTGATCCTTTCCGTATTTGATTATCGCTTCAGCTGAATTACAGACTGGGTTACGTTAGACTTTGATGCGAACATATATAACTATAGGATCATCCATCAAAATGGGAATATTATCCTTAAGAAGGAACGTTATGTTAACACAATTAGGTGACGAACCTTCTGTGAGTCCTACAGTACCCACGAGAGGATGACTAAAAACTACGGTAGCAATGTTTTCATAAGGAAGGTAATTTGAAGATTCATTGTTGAAAAGGCGGTGAGCAAGGCGTCGACCAGCGGCTATAGCAACTAAAAAGATAGCATCACAAATGTGGCGCGCTCTACAATATTCGTACTGATAAAAGGAAAAAATTATGTAAAAAATCCTAGCGAAGAACCCTAACTGTATTTCTGGGAAAAACAATAGAAACGAGAATACCAAATATAAACTAAGCACCTGGAGTAAGCAGAAACTTTCCAGTGGCATCGCCAACGCACAAAATAGAAGAATTAGATGTGTTCTGGTATTGATCAACGATAACATGACCATGAGCATCTGTCTTCACTCCGACCTTCAAAGACAAAAGACTCATGCATTGAAATCTCAGAATGATAAAGAATTCATGTTAGGCTTTCCAGAAACAATAATTTTTGTTTCTTTCTCAATTTCACTCGGCTAATTCTACTAACTCGGGGGATTTTTATTGCGATATATTACTTTTCCGTCTTAATGATTGGATCGTTTGTCCCATGACAATCCTTAATGTGCGTTATAGTTGAAACTGACTACACCTGCAAGCATATATGCACCAAAGCCCTTCATTAGACTCCACGCAGTCCAGGAATATGGCAGTGATTCGTTTCAGGCTCCTTATTTTCAGCGCTTTCGGCATAATGGTAACCACAAGAATCGTCGCAGAAGTGCAAAAATTCTTCGTAGCTTGAGATATGGGGCAATAGTAGTAATGATGATGAACATGGCTGAACATTGGAGTTCGACATTTACAAATACACACCTTCCAAAACTGCTCACATGAAGCATTTGTGTTAGCAAAACAGCTACTAAATTACAACAACTTCGCTAAACTTCTATACTCGCTCCTCAAAAGCATTTCTATACCTCCTCTCGATATATACTAACAGTCCGTCCATACGAGCTTTGCAAAGAACACCTCCATTCGTTTATTTTCCTCATGATCGCCGTTCATAGTGGCCTTGGTAGTACTCGATCTCGACAACTTGTGTCAGTAGTAATCCGTGGTTCAACTTTCTTGACTGTCCTCTTGAATTTCATTGACTCTACTTTCCTCATTCACTTGTTGTCAACTCTTTTCACCACACTGCTGGAGCACCCATCTTTCGCACTGCAAAAGTCCTTTCCTATCGTCTTCGTTTCTGTATCACAAGTATTTGTCGAAATCATGATAACTTCCTCACTAAAACGACATAAGTTTGATTTCAATTTTCCATCAATGCATATACATTTCTGGACACAACTGAGCGATTTTCATTAGTCCGGTCGAAGAACGGTATAGAACTATATTCCTTTTGACGCAGTGGAAAGTTCTTTTGTAGTTGATAAAGGATAGAATAGAAGGAAGGTGATATTATTGGTAAGATTCGATGACCCAAGCTAAAGTGCATGCAATCTACGTAGCAAAATTCTTGTCGGAATCCAGTTTAAGCAATGGATTAAGTTCATTTCAAAGCTATTGTTTGTTAAACGCCAACGTCAAACTGGTAGTCTGCCATCGCAAGGAGACACAGGAATGGAAAATTTAAATTGAGGGACCAAAACGGGAACGGATTCCGCCCTGCTCGCCTCTTGTCCATAACACACCTCATTCGTAGATATTATCCACTTTTCGAGAAGAAAATTTTAACTGGACTTGGAAACGGCCTAAGGCAGACCATTACATCCTTGGAAACAGGGATTATTTTGTTTCCTCGGCGATTCCTTAGTATATTCACTCTATAATGAATTTGATTATTGCCTTTTCCCTCTTCCCTTCCTGCCTTCAGCAGCATGATGGAAAAAATAATTGCTACCTACGGAAACGTTGAGTATATAACAGGAACGTCTTAGATTGGTTCCCTTCCCTATGTGACCAAAGAATCGAAGGGGACCCCACCAAGTGTAGAAGGTGCTCGTCAAAGAACTTGAAAATTATCCCAACATGCTTCAATTCTTTTATTAATACGCTTCCATTGCAAAACCACCACCGACAAGGAGTTGCAAGATAAAAGCATTGAAGCTGTAACGGACCACAGATGCCTCATTCCTCCATAAAAAGTATCAGCTGCAGAAAACACTTCGATGAGGACTTGCAACAGTAGAATCAGAAGAAAATGATGAAAACACCTCAGAAAATAATTGGTCTAAAAACGCATTCACTGCACAAGTGAATATATCCTGCTATTTATGCTAACCAAACCACATCCAAATTCTTTTGAGTATGACGTCACGAACCACAAAAATTTCTTCAAAATCAGAAAATCGATGAATGATCCCGCAAACCGTAATTCCTCCCCATACGGATATTATAGGTAAGTTTGGTACCTCTGCATCTAGTTTCTTATATCGTACTCATCATGGACCACTACTTCTACACGGTAACTGGAGCCATATAAGTCTGACTGTTAAGGAAGACTACGCTCAGCAATCATACAGCATGTCAATGAGAAGGTATACAAATTTACCAGATAGTTACTTGGTTGATTGTGGATGACGGTTGCAAGACGAAATTCAATGATGAAGGGTTATTCATTGCACAAAAAGTGTTGCCTTATAGTCAAGATATTTAGGTATTTGACTACAAATTATTTGGAGTCAAAAATGCTGGAAATTGCACAAAACTGAAGCCCTCCACCTTCCCGTCTGTCAAATTTCACCTCTAGTTTTCACATGGGGAATCTGTATGTAAAAATGAAAAAAGGAAGACCAGTTCTGCTACTTCTTAGACATGTGTACCTACAGTTCGTCTGCTGATAGGAAATTTCTTGAAAATGAGTTCGTGCTACAAATGTTCCAAATGTGTTCCAAACATTAGACCGATTCAAAAAAACACCCTCTTTCTCTTTTCATATGACACATTTTTATACAGCCCTTTAAAGTATCCTGAATTCAAAATATATTAACCTATTATATGCACGTATATACATATATGTATATATACATATATGTACATATATACATGTATATATATATATATATGTACATATGAATACAAAGCAAGAAGATTAACATAGAAGCCGAGAAAGATTTATGTATTTTAAAGTATCATAAAGCACTACACAAAGCCGCATAATTTTACCCGGAAACAGAAAACCAACTTTAAAAAGTCGGACTTTTACTGACGAATCCAAATCCAAACTTCAATATTTGAAAGGCTGTATAAACTAAAAATAATAGTTCCGTTTATAAGAGGTTGCTCTTGTTCCCTTGGAAAAGAGGTTTAACGGTTTAAATGCTGCTTACCTTTTCCAGATTTAATTTTGCCGTAGATGGTGTCCTTCCAATAGCCCATATCAGTGTGCTTACTTCATCAATAACACCATTAGTAGTTTTAACTGTTAAGAGACCATCAGAGCGTTTCTCTACGCTTGATATCTGGGATTAAGTAAGAAATTAGATAAGTTTAGGTGGCCAGTAAATGCAAAAAAAAATCGGTTCAGTACTTGGGTATTTTTGTGAATAGTAACTGGACCGTTATCCATAGCCTCAGTTAAGCCTGTACTGAGCGTTTCGTCAAACGTTCGCAGAACCTGAGAACTGAGTAAGTTGTCGACCTTCAGATGACGAACAGTTCAGGAAAGAAGTAAACCTTGTCATATCTAATTATGAGATGTGTATCTGAACCCAAATTAGCAAGTACACCAGCAAGTTCCACGGCAATATAGCCTGCGCCAACCACCACGGCCTTCCTGCAGTTAATTGACACTTTTACGTTGCATTACTCTAACATAGAACAGATCAATAAGCTAACGAAAACGTTTCAATCTAGTAATTCGTAGTAAGAAATAGTGATAACATAACACAATAACACAATATACACATGACCCATCTATAAACCCACTGAAATGACACACTCAAACAATAAAAAATATCCAACCTTGGAAGTTCATTGAGCTCGAAAAATCCATTGCTGTCGATTCCCAGTTCGGCACCCGGAATGTTTGGAATTGTAGGATAACCTAGTAGCAGTGCTTATAAAAAGAAATACAGCAGGTTCAATGTTATTTCAGTATAGATTCTATCGCTTCCATAATTTTTAAAACAGATCAGGACTCTTGAAAAGCCGAAGAAACCCGGTTAACAAATATCCTTACCACCTACGGCAATGAGAGTGTATTTTCCTTTGAATTTCTCTCCATTAACCTCCACAATCCCGTCATCAGCAAATGTACCGAAACCTCGGATGAGATCGACTTTAGACTGAAAATAGAAATAAGGAAATTACGAACAGTTACAGATCTTCTTTTTCATGTGGAAACTGACGCTGTTGAGGTTGTTCTCGTAGATGCCATTGAGACGTCGGACATAGGCATCACGTGACTGCTTGATAACACTGAAAGCGATGAGTAACTGTTGTTTATTCTTAGCATTTCAAAACAAAAAATTCAATATCTTACTTCCAGTTGAAACTTTTCAGAGTAACATCAAAACCGTAATCGGCATGATCGCGTATGAATTCAGCATGCATAGAGCAGTTGTACATGACTTTTTTTGGCACACATCCCACATTTACCTGAACATCAGCCTTTAATTCGCCTGACAATAGCCGATGACGATGAAAAATTGGCAAATAAGAATTAGAACCGGTTCGCGCAAACGTACAACCGTTCAAAGTGTCGTTCACTGTAATAAGGCGAAGTAGATGCATACCATGGTCAATCATGACATGTTCAAACACAGATAGTTAGGTGCAGCTCTTAACAAAACACAGAAATCTACCGGAGTCGTGCGGTTATTGTTCGCCGATTGTTGCGAAAATGGAAAGTTACAAAAGCAAAGTTTACACTGTGTGTGTCTGGCAAGGGATGAGCATTAATAAGATATCGATGCCTCATTGATGAGTTACTAACATAGAGTTTACATGATCGCTGATCAGTAAAATAAAACAGAAGTAAATTATTTCACAAAATCCACGACGACTAAGCATAAATAATTTAAATCAAAGACCAAATGGTAGAAGTACGAGGGTCAAAAGGAGTTCTGCATCAGCCATGGCAACACAGAACAATGACGCAACCACAGACTTGCAGATTACTAAAGAAGTTCTTATGTGCAGAAGAGACTACTGATGGGATCATATTCATGGTAAGTCTCAGATGTCGATAAGAGATCATGTCGACTAACGCTATTGAAATTCGTTGTTTTCTTCCTCAGCAATCGCGAGGTTGCTACACAGCATACGTTTACTTCCAAACAATAACACATACAACACAACCGTAGCTGACGTCAACCATATGCGACTCTGGGCGGCTGTTCTTCCCCCATGGAGGACAGGTGAAAAAAGCGGTTCTGAAGAAGGCGATTTTACCGAAACGTCAGCTACGGTTGTGTTGTATGTGTGTTATTGTATGGAAGTAAACGTATGCTGTTTAACAACCTCTCGATTACTGAGAAAGAAAACAATGAATTTATAATCCAATGCCGACGTTAAAAGAAAGTCGATCTTGGGAACTGTTACTGAAATTGTAAGCTAGGAAAACGAAAATGAACGCAACGCTTGTAAGCGACCGACCACTGGTTTAGGAATGAAAATTACAGATCGCTTCGATCATGCATAACAAAAGCCACAATGGATACATAACGGAAATGAACTTAAATTTGATCGGAAATGAATGGAACGTGAAAAATAGAAACATGACAAGAATTAGAGCCACCGTAGATATTCAATACATGTCATTGAACGTCCCACTTCTCTCAACAACACGATATGACATGAAAATCGACATCTGTGAATGTGAGCTGCTTCACGTGGACAGACAAATCGTAACTGGAGATGTAAGCTGAGTCTGCTAGAAAAAAAAATATGCGCCAAGCCTTCTGGCTCAGCAGCAGGGATCAACCTGCTCAAGCGAGATCCGAATCGGTTGCAAGGTGATGTTGTCATCTTAACCCTTTTATTTACTGCCTTTTTCTTTTTAATGGCAGGGTATGTTGCGAAATATAACTCGTATATAATGCTGAGATATTTTCAAAACTCCGGACCGCAGTTGTATGCGGTGGGGAACGAACGCGCGCTATTGTCCTTTCCGGGGAGTAGCGCACTTCACCACCACACCATCCGGGTCCTTCGTTTTGCCTGTCTCTCAGCTAGTTCTATACTAGGCCACCACGCGTCACCCCTGTAAAGGCCAGATATGCATTTGATCACCTCCAAATGATGCTTAATAAAGTCGAATGCACGGCGCATTTCTCAGGGATTAATAAACGCCGAGCGCTTTAAAGCCTTAGTATAAGGCTGTACAGAAGAAATAAAGAGAAAAACAAACGACGCAGTGCACGCGACGACGTGGTTAGCGAAGGAAACAGTACACAAGCACAAAGAAAGAAAAGAAGCAGTATGTCATATTACTTAACAAAATTTCTAAGATGAGAAATGGGAGAGCTTTGCGGAAGCGTCAACTCCATGGTCAGTCGACCAATGAATTAAATAGTACAACTTAGAACTTAAGTCAGCAATTTAAGGAACTGAATTCACATACACATGTTCCTCCTAGGCGGCCATTCTCAATCAGTCCAACCGATACCCCGAATTCACGTGCGCGACGAGCTGAGGCGATCCCACCAGAACCACCTCCAATAACCAGATAGTCGAATTCGCGCACGCTGCTCATCCTCCTGAAGTGTCAATTTTCAAGTGAAGACCATTGATGTCGTAAAGTCTTAAGGCTAGAAAACCTCAGAAAATGCAATCATTCTGGAAGTACGCAGAAAACAGAACATATAAAAATAAAGGAAGAGATCCAGTGTTTCCAAGTGCACTAATAGGCGGTTAGTGAGAATGACAAGAAGGCCCTTAGGAACACCTTTGTGCATGCACTGCTTTGTCTTGAATTTTCTGCATGTATAGTCATATTCTGTTGGCAGTACCATGGAAATTTTTGTCAGCAATCTAGCAACTTAAAGCGCGTTAGAAATCGAGAACATGAAAAGTTATCTCCATTCAACACACAAACCAAAGTAATAACTATGTTTCCACTGAAAATTTCTTTTTTATAAACATACAAGAATAAGCACAAGAGAACGGCAACTTAGAAACTACAGAGACAGAGACAGAGAGGCAGATAAAAAACTACAGAGATTACACACCAGACCTTGACAGAACCGAATGTGCGTTTTTCACCCTTTGCAGTCACCAAAATGGAAAAAAACAATCAAGTTCTGCAATATATTATATATATAAATATAATTATATATAGATGCGTTTATATCCAAATATACTTTTTACTTTTTTTATATGATCCGTCTTAACGTCTACTGTGCGGACCCCAGCACTTCCCATATTTGATTCGTTTCCTCGCACCCACCATTCACGAAGATCTTCCAACTTTTATGTGTGGCTTCGGCTCTTGCTTGAGCACTTTCATTTCATCTTGAATGTAATAGAATGCTGCTGGTCGAGTCGGTAGAGACAGCCGGGTTGGGGAGTTTCCAACTAGACTGCAGAGTGATTCTTTCGCGGGCAAGTCTGGTCCCAATTTCTCGACCCTGCAGGGACGACAGGCTTGCTTGGCCAGTAGCGGAATCGAAGTAGCATCATGCTCGTGATGACCGATATCAGACGATCGATACAACTATGCTATCTGCTCCATCTTACAAATCGGTTGTATATGCATATATATATATATATATATATATACATACATACATATACATACGCGTATATACCCGTATATATGTATATATGCGTATATGTATATACGTTATATATATATATATATACATACGTATATGTATATACTTACTTGGACACTTGGACGGTCCCTCTTCACGACCTGTGCGGACCCCAGCACACATGCCATTCGTTCCTTTCTCTCGCAATCGCAGTCCATGGTGGTGGTCTTGTTCGAGCATGGTAGCGCTTGCGAGTCTCATACCATGATCTGTAAAACAACTGAAGCTGGAGGTAGAACAGATTAACTTTGTTTACGAACACGTCCGCCCAACGTTTAGGTGGTCGTCCAAGGGACGTTTGCATTCTCTTGGAGTCCACTCCACTGTTCTTTTCGTCCATCTGTCGTCTGCTCTTCTTATTATGTAACCGGCCCATCTATGTTCCGCTGTCGATGTATATTCTCCTGGATCTCGAAGATGTGACAGATTTCGAAGGTCAGAGCTTCGCAATCCGGTTACAAATTTAGAGTACCTGTTACATTCTAGAAGAGATCGCTCAAGCGCTCTGTGAGTATTTCGAAGCATTCTTGACGTAGTTGAAGTATCAACCTACGTCTCTGCAGCATAACAGAGCGCTGAGAGGACCATAGAATCAAAGAGATGAGTGCGGATTTTTGGGTCCTTCAGTTGGTCGGTGGCTTCTTTGAGAGGCCCGAATACGGCCCAAGCTGCTCTCCTTTTTCTATCTAGTTCCTTCTTCATGTTGTTTTGCATGCTCATTGACCGCCCAAGGTAAACGTACGAGGTGGTCGCCGCAATGAGAGAGTCATCCAGTTCAATTTTTTCGCCTTCGCACCACGGGTTTTTGATGAACCGGGTCTTCTTTCGATTTATGCGAAGTCCGATCTTTTCCCCGTTTCGTTGACCCCGTTGATCATCACTTCTGCTTCACTAGTGCTTCTTGAGAAGATGACAATATCGTCGGAAAAACGAATGTTTGATAGGGATTTTCCATCAATACGCATGCCTTTCTCATCCCAATCGAGTGACTTCATTATCCACTGCAGTGCAGAACTGAACAGCTTTGCCGATATTGTGTCGCCCTGTCGAACCCCTTTTCCTATGGGTATTGTAAAAGGTTGATGGAAAAGCTGTATTTTCGTGGTGCAGTTCCGATAACTGGGACAGAGTCCTTATGTAGGACAGGTCCACTCCTTGATCTACGAGCGTTGATAGGATTGCATTCGTTTCGACACTGTCAAAAGCTTTTTCATAGTCGACAAAGGTTAGGACTAGAGGCAAGTGGAATTTCTGATAAACTTCGATGACTCTGGACACGGTGTGGATATGCCCATGCAACAAAATCCTTTTCGAAATTCTGCTTGCTCGACTGGTTGCGCCTCATCCTATGTCATTGATATGCGCGAGAGGATAATCTTGGTGAAGAGCTTGTAGAGCACACTTAACAACCATATGGGACGACAGTTATGAAGATCCCTTCGGTCTCCTTCTTGGACAGGATGATCGTACGCGATGTCCTCCACTGGTCTGGGATTTTTTTTTACTTTTAAAGGTAGCCTGTCATATGATCTGCGAGAAGTACATGTAAATTGAGGCCTCCAGCTCTAAGGAAATCGGCTGTGATATTATCGGATCCTGGAGTTATGCCTCTTTTCATGCTTTCTATCGCAACTCGAACCTCTGACGGAAGAATTCCAGATGGTTCTTCTCCAGCGGGAATATTAAGGCCCGGAAAGGAGATTGTGGAACGAAAAAGGTTGTGTAGAACGTTTCCGCTATTAATTCCATATTATGGCGAAAAATTTTTACGATCCTATCTTCGTTCATCAGGGCTGACACGGAACATTACAATCACACAAGTCCCGACGGAATTTTTCAGACTGCTTCTTTTCTCTGCTGCTTCCAGTATTTTCTGCTTGTACCGTTGTAGACCTTCCTGCAAAGCTCTTCTGTAGCTGGCATTTATTACAAGCCATGTTAAACGTACTGCAGTAGGACCAAACTTCAGTTTCCTTCTCTTTTCGAAGAACTCTGTAGTGATGGAGATGCGATTCGATCTTCCTGCTTCAGGAACTAAAGAGGAACTAAAGCGAATTCGGCACAAGTTTTCAGTCCTTCGACAAGCAGCTCGTAGTCTTCGGTCGATTCTTCTTTAATCTTCCAGTCACGTTTGGATAGGACTTCATCCAGAATGTTCTCGTCGTATACAGCTACACCTTTTCCTCGTGGTCGATGAAGACAGTTTTCCCAGCTTGCGGCTGAATCGAATCCTCTCGCGAAGAAGGCGGTGATCGGAACCAGTACAGAATGACGGGACTACCGATGTGTCAAGTGGGCACCATCGTCTTTTTGCCAGAATGTGGTCGATCTCCGCATGAGTCATGCCGTTAGAAGACTCCCATGTCCAGCGGCGGCTTTCTTTTGGAAAAACGAGTTTCCGTGGAAGACACGTGCTGCGAACAGGAGTCATGCGAAACGGTTCCCATTCTCATTTCCTTCTCCTAATCCAAAATTTCCGATCTTGTATTCGCTCTCGTTGCCCTTCCTATTCTCGCGTTGAAGTCTCCGACAACAAATTTCTGATATGGTTCATCATTGCGGATGACTTCCTCCAGCTGATAGTAGGATGCATTTAATTCGTACTCATCAGCTTCATCGCTCGGTGAGTAGCAGCTGATAATAGTGATCTTGTTATGATACGGTAGTTAGAGACGAAGGACAGCTATGCGAAGAGAAAGGATCTCGTATGAGTCGACGAGATGGACAATGGACGGGTGGACGACGAAGCCTACGCCACCGACATTTCGTGACGGTACCTTTTCTCCACAGATCACAAAGATACCATTGTTTAGTTGGCGTATGTCGGTGTTTTTGATTTTTGTTTCTTGTAATACGATCACATGAAATTTAACGCGATCTGCGGCTACAAAACAATCTCCATGGTGTCGTGCGTGTGTTCGTCAGATCCGGCTCCAATGACATCCTGCATAACCCGAGATTTTCTGGCCTCTCACCGGTCGTCTCACTGCCTGACGTCATAGACGGAGCACCCATTGTGCGGGGTACTGAGGTTGGCCTATTACTGGTCGTGCAACTTGCTTCTCCCTGGAGTCCTGACGTGCCCTTGCAAGGGCGTATCCAGGTCTTCATCACAATGTGGATCAGAGGGAGGTATGTATATATAAATGTGTATATATATATATATATGTATATATAAAAATATATCGACTCATGAAAGACTGAATCTCTCACTGCAATTTCCATTTAACTGATAATTTGCTGCTTAGGTACGCTTGTTCCTCCGCCATGGTGGCTTCGCAGGGAGTTTTTAGTCCTTAAAAACGCAATGCTTGGTCCTTATAGACCAAACTGTAATTGCCACATTGTAGCTATGTTTCTTCCAGGATAATCTTGATTCCTTTTTTGATGGACATTCAGAATTCCTTAGCAGGCTTGATAATCCTGCTGGAGAAATGCTACTGTACGTGGTAGTTCAACAACACCCCAGCCACAATGAAGTGGTAAACCATTACATGGAGAAATATATAAAACCATACATACACGTACACATATACATAGTGTATGTATGTAGATGTACATAAGGGCTCGCTGTGCAACACACGTGGAATCGATCGCCACGCCCATGACCCACCAAGCCTTCCATCCCTTCGGGTTGGGCAAATTGGTACCAGACTTGTTTTGGAGGACAGCAGCACTGGTTCGATACATCGGCAGGCCACCGCGAGTCATTGTAAAGAACAAATATGCATTCAATCACCTCAAAACGATGCTTAATGAAGTCGAATGCATGGCGCGTTCCCCAGGGATTGATCAACGCCGAAAGGTTTATCCTTTATCCTTTTACATATATGTACACACACACAGTGGAAGAGACAATGCTACATCTATATGTATGCAGATTGACAAGTCAACACGACGAACGACACAGCCTCGGAGCTGAGCAGCAAGAAATGGTTCGGGAAGTTTTCAACAACGTCGAGGACACAGTGAATAGGACAAAAAGATCCGACTTCGTGTCCATCTTTTCGACGCTACGATTCTTCCTTCTTTAACATAGGCACGGGTAACTTGGACACTCGACAAAATGAAGGAGTGACCATTTAGCGTTACAGTCGAGGTTACGTCGTTGGGTGCATCGGTATCGCACAACTTGAAGATGAAGTCTGTTTCAACATATGACAATGATCGAAAATCGAAGACGCAGCTCCAATGCTAAAAGACAGACACTCAGGTGGGCCAACCACGTGTTTCATCTTAACGACAACCAATGGACGAGAACCCCATGCAACAGGGTCCTGCCGATAACACAAACGCTACCAAGCTGATGGTCATAATTCGAATAAGGGAAAAATAGGATCCACTCAGCTCAGATAATGGTGAAGTGGCTAGAAAATTCCATTCAAATTGGTCAGTTTTTACCGCCTAATATTGCCAACGAAAACTAACGTAAACGTTCCTGAACCATGAAGGATTCTCTCAAGAGCGGAAAGTCGAGTTTGGAACGCCCAACACGAATATGAAAGAACACCAAACCTAACGTCTACTTCAATTCTGAAGATGGTTACGTCATCAAGTGAGTCATTTCAATTTGGTTACGGCACCAAGTGAATCATTTCGATGTCAGTTGTTTCGCTGCTCTAGCAGTGAAACAGGACCTTTGCCGTAACTATTTGATAAAATGCAACCATATATGTTAACGTAAAATATAGTGCACATTCCTCCAACAATTCACCGTCCTGTCGTGGCTAGGTGTTCCTGGGTGGTGTGCAGCGATATACAACCATGGAATGCATCCCCGGCAGTGTCCCCCAAGCTGTGCAGCCCAGCATTTCCACCAGGAAGCTCAGCTATGAGTAAACCAATACTAGGATCCACCATCGTTCTGACATCAAGCCAGTTGCATGGTGGCAAATCTTTCTCTGATTCACAATGGCGGCAACTGCCTGTGGTGATGATGATCTGCGGCAGATTTTGACCAGGCTGAGATCGAGACACCAGAAAACCACAATGGCTAAACCAGCAAAACTCCGAAAAAATGGAAATTATGCTGCGGCCAGCACAACCGGTGAAGACGGGTCATCCAAGTATTCAAGTAAATACCAGCTACGAAATAGAAACTAAGATCTCAAATTTAAAAAAACAACCGATTATATAACTATGTTTCTGATAACAACAAATGAACGACACTATTTAGTGTCCCTTTAAACCACTCTGCGTCATTTGAGAGAAAAAATAGCCCTCGTCATTGTAAAGTCGCATGCAACACAATAGATGACCAACCTTAAAAAATATAGCGCTGCACTGTAAGCAGTTCTGGATGGAAGTCGAACGTTTAGCATAGCACAGAGACTTTAGCCAATGTATTTTACAAAGTTCGAAAACCGTACTGACACATCAGAGACATGGAAAAACGTCAAAAGCGTAAAGTTAAAACAACGACACGAACGCATAAATACCTTTCATTGCATTGAATATCACAGGATTTGAAATAAGAACCAGATCAGTAAATGGAAACAACGAGCTTCGTCGACCCACATGAATGCAAAAACAAGGCCTTAGCAGTGCAATGCTTGCGGAAATCGCAGTAGTAACCAGGGGTTTTAGCTATGACATTCTTAGAGATGTTGATAGAATGAAGCACTATAAAAAGAACAATGTGAGAAATGAAAGCATCCATTCAGAATAGGATGAACCGCCCGAAGAGAAGAATGATGCCGAAGATCCCCAACGACACCGCCACTTTGAAAAATATCGACCTGTAATGGTTCTAACTTCTTAACAGAGCTTCCTAAATAGAGACATACAGTTACCTCCTATTCAGAGCTTTTGCGTCTTCCCGATATTTCTTACTAATCCCGGACAAATCGGAAGCCTTTGCCTCAAGAACTGCAATAAGAACATTTTATTCAACTATTTCAACGATGTCTGAAACGATCTGACAACCAAAACATCTAAAGAAATTTTTAAACAAGAAAGATTTTAGGAAGAGTGTAATCACTTTTATTCGACGCCTATTCCATTTTCATGGAATGGCATCATGGGAAATATAACCGTAAAGATGCTGAGATATTTGCAAAACTCGGGACCGCAGAACGCGCCATTACCCTTTCTGGGGGCTAACACGTTCACCATCACACCAGGCAACTCCTTCGTTTCGCATTTCTCTCAAGCATATTTTATAGGTGCTATTAGCAATCACCCGTAAAAGAGATCGACCTGGGAAGCATAAACCGACACTGAACCCAATTAAGCAGTAGCTGTAGCATAAATCACGACGCAATCACATTTTATCTAGTGCCGATTCTTTTTTCACGGCAGGTGGTGAACGCATCAACCTAGGGAAAGGGTAATAACGCGTTCGATCCGCACCGCACGCACCTGCGGACCAGAGTTTTGCAAACATCCCAGCATCATTTTGGGAAGGACGTTACACAACAGTGTTTTAGACCTACTATTAAGAGCTTCTCCACGATGGATAACGTCTTCTATGTTGCTGACCATGATTCGGGCAACATCTTGCAATTCACTAGACACAGCAGACATAGCATACCTGTTTTAAAAAGTTATCTAAAAACGCGGACTACAATATTCGGAGGAAAAAGGAACCTGTTCCTATCCACATATTTCTTCTTGGCTTGTTGAATGTATTGATCTAAAATGCAGGTTACTGAACCAATAGTTGAAAAACCACCAGTCTCATCGAAAGAAAATAAACGCACCAAATTCAAGGAAATGGTAAGGACGGGCGACCTGATCGATCTTTGTGGCATTCTGGTTGAGGAATTCCTGAGAGACGTCTTCAAGATAGGCAAATGCAAGCTTCCGAGGAAAGGAGTGCTGGCATAAACACAAACAGCAAATCGACTGCTTTATGACGTAGCTGTAATAGTAACGCTAATCTCAACTTTTCCAGTCCTTCATCTCCAGATACTGCGCTAGTTGACTTTCAACTTCTCAAGTAACATTAAGAGAACAACTATGTGCTTAGTTACACAGCTCCAGTTACAGGCAGTTACACAGCTCCACACTTTCTACAGACTTACCAGCAAAGAGTACTCTCCTCTTACAGGAAATCGGACCGAAATGGAAATGATAACAAAACGTCTAATTTGTACATCACACAAATTCCGAAACTATGCTAACCTTATTTCTATAAGTGCTATAAGCAATTACCCGTCAACGGGAGCACAAATCGGCACTGAACATGGCTACACAGAAGCTAGTATTGCAAATCACAATGTAACCATTTTTTTACTTGCTGACTATTCTTTTTAATGGTAGGGTGTAACGTGAGATATAACCACAATGATGCTGAGATAATGCCAACATTTTATCTACCGCCTTACAACAATTTTCGCAGCAGGGTATTATTTATTATGTGTGACTCAACCACAATGATGCTGAGATATTTGCAAAACTCCGGACCGCAAGTGTTTGCAGTGAGGAACGAACGCCCCCGGAAAGGGTAAGAGCGCGTCCGTTCCGCACTGCAGGTGTTTGAGATGAGGATTGAACGCGCTAGCTGACAGCACCTCTAGAAACACGACTGCGAGAAAGGCAAAACCGGCAACCAGCATGGTGCGGTGCGGAACGCGTTAACCCCTGGACAGCGTAACTGTGCGTTCGATCCCCACCGTAAACACTTGCGGTCTCGAGTTTTGAAAATATCTCAGCATGATTGTGGTTATATCTCACAGTATACCCTACCATGGAAAAAGAGCAGGCAGTAAATGAGTGATTATAGCAACCTTAGCATTCAATCAATCACCTGTCACCTGTCACTTGTAGTCGCGTTGATCGTCGAGTGACTCGAGCGGGCGCCAGTAAATCTTCCATTTTTCCCTGTCGCGCGCAAGACTAACCCAGTGGGTTCTGCTCGCTCCAGAGACTCGTTGAGCATCATATCCTTCTTCAAGGCTTTTTGTGAAGAACTCTGAACAACGGGTCGGTGGTCTTCCTCCAATACGTTTGACATCCCGAGGAATCCAGTCACCAACGGCTCTTGTCCATCGGTTGTCATGCATACACATTACGTGCCCAGCCCACTTTATCTTCGATTGTTTGGCGTACAGAACGGCATCTTTGATTTTTAATCGTCGACGCAGATTGGAGCTTCGGATCCCATCCCTTACTTGTGTGGAACGGGATGCTCCTACCATTATCCTTTCCACTGCGCGTTCGATAACGCTGAGTGAGCTTTCACCCTGCTTACGCAGCGACCACGTTTCTGGCGCATACGTTAGGGCAGGAAAGACCGTTGAGTCGAAAAGGTGGGCGCGGAATCGGGTGTTCTTTGTTCGCTCCACTACATCCTCGATGCTCTTGAATGCTCCCCAAGCCGCTCGTTTCCTTCTGCTCAGCTCTGGAGCTCGGTCGTTCATCATATTGATTTCCTGACCTAAATAGATATAACTGGAGCATTCGGAGATGTTCGTTCCGTTGAGTGTGAATGGGGCATTCGAAACCAATCCGTTCCTCATGATCATCGTTTTTATGAGATTTAGTCGAACACCAATCTTTCCACAGGCTTTATCAAAGTCGGCAAGCATACATTCCGTTTGGCTAATGTTTGATGTTATACGGACAATGTCATCAGCAAAGCGAGGATGGTGTAACTGCCGACCGTCGATTTTCACTTCCATATTATCACATTCCAATGTTCGCATGACGTTCTGGAGGGTGGCGGTAAATAATTTTGGCGAGATGGTATCGACTTTTCTAACTCATCTTTTGACCTCAATGTTAATATCGTTGAAGAATGGTGATACTTTGGTTGTGAAATTTTTGTACAGCTCACGAACAATCTTTATGTACTGAGGAAGGACTCCCTGACAATCAAGGGCTTCCATTACCGCTTCTATCACAACTGGATCAAGGGCCTTCTGCAAATCGATGAAAGTGAGACAGAGCGGTCTTCCGTATTCTCGTGATACTTAAATGAGCCGTGCTACCATGTGGATGTGGCCCGTCGTATTAAATCCTCATCGAAACCCTGCTTGCTCTCATAGCTGTCTTTCGTCTAGTATTCTATCGATCCTGCTTAGGATGACTCGAGTGAAAAGTTTGTAGACGACAGACAGTAAGCAGATTGGGCGATAGTTTCCGATATCGTGTAGGTCACCCTTTTTGAACAACAAGGTCTTGCTGGTTTTCCACTGAGTAAGGACCTTGCAATCAGAGAGGTAATGTGTGAAAAGCCGAGCCATTGTGTTTACGAGTGCTAGCGTAAGATTCCTCAGGCGTTCTAGTCCTATCCTGTTCAGACCTGGTGCTGTTCGATTTTTCACCGACGAAATGGCATGTCGGATTTCGGAAGGGAGACCGGTGGTACAACATATCCATCCTCCTTTATTTCATATGACGGAAGGTGGACGTGGCTATCGAAGAGATCCGAGCAGTATTCGTGAATGATTTTCTCCATTGCCTTTCTGGACGCTATAACTGTTCCGTCTGGGCTCCGGAGAGCAATTATGTTGGTCTTGTAATTGGCGAAGCTTCGGTGGGCTTTGCCAATGCTTTTCCCAGCCTCTGCAGCTTCGACAATTACTGCTGCTCTTCTCTCTTTAAGATCTTTTATTGCCTGTCTGCATTGTTTTGCAAGTTCGGACGTTAGTTCGACGTTGCCTGTAGCTCGTGCGATTCCACGCTGGTGTATCAGCTCGAGTGTTTCTGGAGATTGACGTCTCTTGGTGACTTTCGAACTCTGAGGTTTCATAGAGCTAACGAGATGTTTAATGAGCCGATCGTGTTCTTCGTTCGATGTTATCGGTATCTCGATACCACGAATCTCCCTCATCCACAGATCTTTCTCATATGAGGGATCTCTAGCCGGTTAGTCGCGAGATTACGTGGCGCGTCCCCAGGTGACGGATAGGGGGTTAATTGTGGACCAAAAGCGGCCTTTGCTTCCCTGAGACGCATATGGATCCTGGGGATGGACTCCCTGTTTCCGATGCGCCGATTTAGCACATACTTTCTGTATCTGCTAGGCGTATTCATGCATGTGTGTGTGTGTGTGTGGGTGCGTTCTTGCTTATGCGGATTGCATTCTACAAGTCAATTCGGCAAAAACCCTGCAATCAAGTGACTAGGAAGACGGTTAGAAGTCGCCTCCAACAAATAAGCTCCATGTCCACTCCGGGAGAGCCTGGCATGCAACCCGCGAGTATAACCAGGCCTCACGTTCAGAGCCCACCAAGCTATACGTGGGTATCAAAAATGATAAACACAGTAAAAAAAAAACGGGTCTCATTCCCCTGACCCCGAAAGAGCCCCCAATTTCGAAGCGTTGGATAGGACGAGTACGGAGAGGCTGCTGAATTCTCAGGGTCAATGGAAGCTGCCAGGATTTCAAAGAACTATGGTGACGATCTGTACCTACAATACATGCTCACTTGCATTTGAGTCCTCGATAGAAAACCTGATTATGAAAGTAAGAAGGATAAGGCACGGCGTCATCGACCTGGCTGAGACGAGAAAATGCCAGCCCTCCAACGCCGTATATGACACCGGAGAAGAACTGTTTCTCGGAACATGCGACAGTAGAGGAGTCGGCGGAGCCGGCGTTCTCGTCAGCACGAGTTTGTCCATGAACATCGATTTATTCGAACAATTTAAAACCCGAATCGGGCATTTACGATTAAGAAGACGTAGATCAATTCCGGCTTTGACAATCTTCGTCGTTTACGCGTCGACATCAAAAACTATGACGAAGAAGAAGTCGAAGCGGTCTATATGGACTTAGAGAAGTTCTACAGAGAAGACCGTACACTCTTCAAGGTCATTATTCGATATTTCAACGCCAAGATTGGACCAAGAAGAAGGTCCGAAGAACGTCACATTGGCACCCATGGATTAGAATGGAACGAATAGGGTAAGCGGCTATCTGAGTTTATCATGGCGACCAAGACAATCCATAGTAACTCGCAATTCAAGAAGCTCCACCCTCAGTGCTGGACGTAGGAGTCTCCCAATGGAGAGTACAAAACGAAATAGACCACATCATAGTAAATAAACGATTTTGCCTAACCTATGTCGCTGTTGTCCCAAATTTCTACACGGGATCAGACCATTGTCTCCTTCGTGCAAGATTCTATTTCTCGCCGAAAGGAGAAAAAGCCGTTTTATTCCAAAACAGAAGTCCCAGAATCACCTTAAACTGGGATTTATTCAATTCATTAGTCGGCTGTTGGGAAGATGCCGTTGTCGATAACATCGACGAAGCGTTCAATGCACAAAATAATATCCAGTATGAGGAAAAGTGGATTACTTGGACACAAATGAGATCATACGCCTGGGTAGCTCTAAGGTTTAAGCTCAAACCACTGTTATGACAGCTACTGAAACCTTACAGTGGGATTTCTATAATTCCTAACAGTTCAAATGATGGTTTGCACAAGCCTTTTCGTCCCCAGCCTCAGGGTGCTTTAAATCACTTGAAATGGACGAATTATACTATAAATTTCACTTGAAGTCAAACGTTGTTGGAAAAAAGCACTTTTCACAGAATTTCGTAGTCAAAGAAACAAATTTTTAAATTGCAAAGTTCCTAGTAATGACAAGCTGAAATTTTAAAAACTTACTGGAACATGTAGGGTCCAGTCTCAATTGACTGCATCTGAGGTGCGTTACTGAGTTTCTTAAAAAGCATTTTTGCTTGATTCGAGTACTTCACAAGGTTCGTGTCACCCTGGAAAAGGAATCTTGAAGAAGGTACGGCACTATCAAAATGACGGCTTACTTTCTAAAAGAAAAAAAAAGAGGAACAAAGAAAATAACACACTCCATCGCTTCCTTCGATAGACGTTGCCAATATCAGACCATCTCTTACCCTCGCTATTAACGTTAACTCCATATGCTCTCTGAAAACATGAAAATACGAATACAGCAGGAGATATACCTTTCACGAAAACAGCAATTCCCAATCAAAGTCAAGAATGACCGATAACTCAAAAGATCGACTTGCTACGAATCTCGGCATAATAATCGATATACCTATATAAATGTTCTCACGAACTGCCCTTTTTTAGCCGACGCGAGGTTGGGGTAGACCTTCTTATTGTTATTGAAATGGAACAACTGCACTATACTATGGAGTTCACCGAATTGTGGGGCTACTGTGGTAGATTAAGACTGAGAAAGTTGGACTCCCTGAGACGTCAGCCAACGAACAGCAACAACAACAAACCTCGCATCAGCTTAACGAGGGCAGTCGGTAAGCACATATGTATGGATGACCGATGACTTCGAACAAAATGAAGTCCGCCAGGAAAGATCCGAGACGTGAAGGATTAAGGCAGAGCGGACTTGATTTGGTGTAAAAGTGCGTGTGACAGCGATCTGAGTTCTGCAGTGGAACAACTGGTCGATGCAAACGTGGCCCAGCAGCGGTCGCGCCTTTGTGGATCTTCTGGGCAGTGGGTTTTGTCCAGAGATGACGAGTCAGTTTCCTGAGTCACTGTAGTAGGACTTTGTATTGATCGTAGAAGACAACCTCATGATGCATGTTCCAGCTTTAACGACCCAACTTTAAGGAAGTGTGGTTCTTGCTTCGTTCATTGAGAAGATAACCCGACGTAGTGACCGGAATTTAAAATTGAGAATTGGTGGTTGTAGTACTGTTTGAATGTGTGCGTTTTGATTCAGTAGCCGTCACATTTGTCGGTGTCTGTACATGTTATCTGCTTAGAAACGATTAGTCACAGCACTTCAGATTTATCCCTATTGCTGAAATGAGTTAAAACCTAATAAACCTAGGTTGGTGAGAAGTGTAGAAGGATCGCGACCGTGTATTTTGGGCCAGTGCTTTGTCTTCCATTGTTTATGGTCCAAAAGTTGTGTTTATGTTGGCAAACTTACGTTTGGGTCTTATGTTAAATACGCATGTGGCGCACTGGTCGGAGGCGTCCTGCATTACACATGGGATCGATCCCGCGCCTCGAGCTCATCGAGTCTTCTATCCCTTCACGGTTGGCAAATGGGTAACAGACTTGTCTGGGAGGATAGTAGCACTGGCTCGATATACATCGGTAGGCCACCGTGAGTCATTGCAAAGACATTCAGTTACCGCCAACGATGCTTAATGAAGCCGAGTCCATGGTGCATCCCTAAGGGATAGATCAACCGAGAGTTTTATCCTTTATCTTTTATGTTAGATACTGAAGGCACTACCGATTCTATGGAATTTGAATGCTGAAATGTTCTAAGGTCACTTTCCGGTGTCGAACACGAGTGAGCTGTCGCCATGTGGACAACTCGGCAAACATGCGAGCTCCCATCGGGGCTGACATCGTCTATCCAGTTTCTCGAAAACACTGCTGATTCTTCATTATTTGACTGCGTACATCTTAGTTATTGTGGTATAGTATATTATAGTCTATCCATCTATATGTTCTTATGAACTGCCCTTGTTGAGCCGACACGAGGTTGGTATACGTTTTCATTGTTGTTGTTACTGTCGTTGTTGCTATTGTTGTTGTCTTTGTTGCTGTTGTTGTTGTCGTTGTTGGTCGATGGCTGACATTCCGGCGATTTCTTCTTCCTCAGAGCTGTGCTGTTGCGAGTGGGACTCGCATCAGCTCAGCAATGATAGTTCATAAGGACATATAAATAAATATATCGACTATTTATGCCGAACGTTATAGGAAGTCGGTCTTTTGAGTTATCATTCTGTAGTTCAGTTTCATCTCTTTCTCTTTTTCCGTCACTTCCACAGTTTTTTGTCTTCGCGCCTTTGATGTTACACCATTTTACCTACTTTGCGTACAGAACAGATGAACTTCTCCCTTTTTACTGGTACCGCTGCTACAAGCGGCATTAATGTCTCTCAGGGTAAGCGCAATAACGCGTTTTCTATTGGCAAAATGATTTTTTGCTCAAACGTCTTTATGTTTTACCTTTTATTTTCTGCCTACTACAATTTTCACGGCAGGGTACTAAGCGAAACACAACCACAACGTTGCTGAGTTATTTGCAAAACACTGGACCACAGAGGTGTCTATGGTGGGGAACGAACGGGCTATTATCCTTTCCGGGGAGTAACGCATTCGCTCGGCATTGAACCCAGTTAAGCTGAGGCTGTAGTTGAAATCACAATGCTTTATCTTTTATTTTCTGCCTACTACAATTTTCACAGCAGCGTCCTATGTTGATGTGGGCTCCCCAGATCAGTCCCGTTGACGGGTGATTGCTGATGTCCCTGATCGATAGAACTTGCTGAGAGACAGGCAAAACGGACTGGCATGTTGTGGTATTGAGCGCATTACTTCCCGGAAAGGACAATAGCGCGTTCGTCCCCACTATAAACACAAATATCTTTATTTTTTCCATCAGTGAGACCTACTGAGAAGTACATTCACTTGTTCGCCATCATTCGTTAACTAACTGGAATTCTTTCTCAAAATTTGATGACAACTTGATTCGTGGGACTGGCACCCAATGTTCCTGTAATCCTCCCATAACGTCAGTCTTGAGAATAAGACTAAGTGGTACTGGATATGCAGTGGTAATGGTGTAGTAGGTTAAAGGATAAAAGGATGAAGCTTTCGGCGTTGTTCAGTCCATGAGAGATGCGCCATGAATTCGACGTCATCAAACAAGCATCGTTGGACTTGATTGGATGCATATCTGGGCTTTACTACTATTCTCAGTGCCCTATCTGTGTATCGAGCCAGTGCTGCTATGCTCCCAGACGAGCCTGATACTAGTTTACCGACCTCGGTAGGCTTGGTGAGTCTGAGGTGTAGAGATCAATCCCAAGTGTATTGTAGAGCACCTCCGACCACTGCGCCAAACACGCCCCGATTTAAGCATATATTTGTTTTTCGACAATTAGTTGCTTTTCCGTTTTCACTCGCTATGATGAATTACAGGTATCGCATGGAATCGGCGTATACAAGAAACATTTTTAAAAACATCGAGGTAAACATTACAAATCCTTAAAGGACCTTGCGAAAGGCCGCCACCGTTGTCTCCGGACGGTGCGAACGGTATGGTCACTTTCGAGGCTGAGGAGGATGTAACGGACTGCATATGTTGAATTCAATGCTTGTTGTGCAGCGAAAAAATTAAGCTCAACTGTGCCGCCATGTAGATTTGGTTTTACTCATCTGTGTGTTGGTGTTGTGCCCCTTTTTTTTGTTGTTTTACATGAAGTTCAGTGTTTACATGTAAAAATAGACAGCTAAACCCATGAATACTCTAGAAATTCATTATTTAGCTCAAATGCGGACAACGTTGACAACTGCGCAGTCGCTTTATGGCTCTTAACGCTCAACCTTTAGTGAGGACGGGACCGGAATTGCTTACAGCGCTTCGCTAAGCATGTGGGTCTTATTTAATTCTTTTTTTTTTAAATCCTAGCTCGTGTTACTTTCATCTTGGATCTCGTTTGTTTTACATTAGTTAAGCTTTTTATTTTACTTTTTAAGAGCTGGACCATCTCTTGCCAATCAGGAAATCAGCACTCAAACTAACTCGAGAGTTCCTGTTATGGTCAGGTGGTGAACCTTAGTTTTCTCCTTGAACTGTCGTAGTTTCTTAAATGAACCTAGTATTTTTAGATCCCGTGTTTTCATAAGGCGCATTGCCAATGCCCTAATCACACGTGGTGATCTTATCGCTTTGGTCAAACCTTTCGGGAATGTTCTTGGACTTATTCATTTCAAGGTGTTTTTATGATTATGGTTTACACTTTTATTATTAAGAAATAATCTGTATTCAATAATGTTGTTTCTGTGAACTTGATGAATCTTCGTGCTCGCCACATAGAAAATAATCTTCTGATAGGTTTTTTTTTCAAATCATGAACTGCTCTGTTTATTCGTTTTCATCTACCGGGACTTTTAAAATAAGGATTACGATGGAACTGAATACTTTTCTATTTTTATGTTTGCCGTTGATTCTTGCAAATGCTATGCTAACTGACTGGGTACTAGTCATCAGTAGTGTTTCGACAATGCAGTTGTTAAAAAATAGCTATGAATTTAAAATTCGAGTAGGGAAAACTGTTAGTTATTAGTAGTCGTAATTATTGTTAACTGTAATTAGATTCACCATTGAACCACTACATATGGATCTCCCTCACAGAGTGCCCTGTTGCTTGTAAATCCCTAGAACCGGTTAGTCGCGAGACGTGGCGCGCCCCCGGCTGGCGAATAGGCGGATTTATCTCGGGCTAAAAGCGACCTTATGTTTCTGTGCAACGCCGATTACTCAAGGCGATGAAGTTCTGTTTCTGCTGGGCTGATTTAGCACATATCTTCTCTGTTTACGAAGACATATCGCTCTTTCCGCGCAAAATTCCACCCCTCGCGGAAAGGAAAGCCGCCAATTTCATTGAACGAAGTCCTAAAACCACCATAAACTGAGACTTATTCAGATCATTGGTGGACTAATGGAAAGATGTCGTGATTTGAAAACATCGGCGTGGAATGCGTTGGTTTAGTGAACATCTTCATGTTAGCGCTGTGAAACCTGAGAGTTCGAAAGTCTCCAAGAGAGGGCTGTCTCCAGAAGCACTCGAGCTTACACGCCATCGTGGAATCGCACTAGCCGCAAGCAAGCGTATTTGCGCCTCCGAACTTGCAAAACAATGCACAAAACGACAAGAGAAAATAAGGACAGAAGAGCAACAGTTATGGTCGAAACTTAAGAGGTTAGGAAAAGAATTTGCAAAGCCCACCGGAATTTCGCCAATTACAAAACTAAGTTGATTGCACTCCGACGCCCAGACGGAACAGTTACAGCTTCCAGAAAGGCAATGCAGGAAATCATTCATAATAACTGTTCAAATCGCTTCAGTATCTATGTCCTCTTACCCTTATACGAAATAAAGGAGGATGGATATGTCGTACCCGGTTTTCCTTACGGAAATCGGACATATCATTTCGCCGGTGAAAAATCGAACAGCACCAAGTCCGAACAGGATAGGACCTGATCACCAGAAGTTTCGACTAAGTTGACGGTCATGTTTATCACTAGCTAAATCATTTGGTGGCTTTTTTAAAGTCAACCAAGGTTATGGTATTGCTTGAAAAGTCCGTGTTATTCTTCTTCTTATTCGGAGTACTTTCCCTTTGAGTAGTTTAAGCACAAGCAGTGCTTTAGTCAAAGCCAGGTTTTCAGATGCTGGTATGTTTGTGGTGACTGACAACTTTAAATCAAATTATCTCACAAGTTTGTAACTTTTATCATTGCTTGTTTTTTTTTCATTGTGGGATATTGTGAGAAATACCGCTATAAAGATGCTGAGATGTTTTCGAGTTTTGCTAAAATTCCCCGAAGAGGGTAAGCGCGGCACGTCGGGTTCCAAGTTTTGCCCAGATATCAACATGTTGTTGTTGTTGTTGTTGTATTTCACATAACACCTTTCCATGAAAAAAAATAGAATGGATAGTAAGTAAAAGGTAAAACATTGTGGTTTCGACTGCTGCGTTAGTTTAACTGGGTTCGATACTGATTTGTATCCCTCATATCATTCCTGCTGATAGATGATTGCTGGCAGCACTGTTAACGTAAGAAAAAACTCCAAAGCAATGGAGAAAAAAGAGAGGAAGGCAAAGAAAGAGCATCGGTTGGTGTAGTGGATAACACGTGAACCCCCGAGAGGAGTAGTCGCCGGTTCGAAGCGCACCTGGGGTTCCAAGTTTTGCACTTTTGCACACTTATCTCACCATCTGTGATTTCATTATTGTTTGAAATACTTCTATGGAAACACTTTGTGTTCAGCAAGGATACAGGTTTGTACAGTTTTCCACGCCTAATGAAGCTGATGGTGCAGTAGCGATTCTAAATGATAAATTGTGGATGGATTCTATTATTGGTGAGGAATTTTTGGGGTTTCTTTTGTGTCAACCTTTCACAAATTCATTTCTGGGCCGCTAAGGAGTCCCACTTTTTCAGGGAAATTTGAAATAGTTTTCTCCTCGTTCGTGCGTATTATTGCACAGTTTCACTTCTTTTTACTTGAATTTTGTTTGAATGAAGAGCCTTAGCGTTTACTTTTACTCATTAGGTCCCATATTGCAAGTATTTGTTGTTCCATATGTGTGATTATTTATCCTAACAAACCACCTTTTCTGAAATTGATATTTTTGGAAGCTTTGAATCGAACGTGTTGATGCATATTTACTATGCTTCGGTTTTTTTTACTTCCACTTTATTGCATTTGCTTTTTTGCTTTCAATTCTCTGTAGTTCGCTTGGAAAGGTATCTTTTACCTTAACTTCTCAGATGTTCATCTCGTGGAAACCGAAGCCGCGAAGAAGAAGGAATAACGGGACAGGTACCCGAAATCTGATCTAGGATACTTCCATAGCAGCAGTTTCTCAGAGTGTTTCTCTTTAGTCATGCCACTTCAACTGAGAATCGTAATTTTGCACTTCGAGATGAAAGAAGACTCTTTAACTGACTTTTAGCTTAGGTGCTTCCCCGACTTCGAACCGTACTATTTTTTTTCTGACAAATGTTTGTATCACTCGTTTGCTAGAGGTACTCGTATGTTCTGCGAATGCGATTTTTATGTTATTACAGCAATATCCGCAAGCGGGATGGTGAAAACGACCACAGTGATACTCGGGTTTCAAAGCTTTCCTCGTAATTCCTCTTGAAGAGATGCGGCTACAGAATCGTTTTAATAGAATGATAGCCTTGGAGACTACACAACCATCGACATGATCAGTGCACGTATAATACTTGAACTCTCAAGTACTAATCACCCTTATGTGTATTTACTTTTGAAATAGCTTTTGTATTCCTACATACATTGTTTTTCGAGCAGCTCTAAGGCCTCGAGATAAGTCCACATCTAATTTTATTAGCGATTATATGGAAGAGGCGAGGTGTGGTTTAACAAGCTCTTATTTGCATCTATTTTTCTTTCTTTTCTTTTTTTAGCCACAGCGCAGAATTGTGTTAGTTTTTTGGCCTTGCGCAATATGCATCAAACACATTCCATGCTTTTTCCCTACCCATAAAAGCGTCAGATACTCTCATTATCAACATACTTTTTTTGTTCATTTGGTGTAAAAAGCGAGGAATCACGGCGATAATATATAGCATCGGATATTCCTTTAGCAACATTCGTCTCTGTGGCAAGACCAATAAGCTCACTGAAGGAACAGCATTTTATATTACGAATTTTGAAATAATCAGCAGTTTGTGAAAACCAGCTCCGTGCCTTATGCAAAGTATAGGTCTTCGTCGCCTTAGTAGTTCCAAATTTAAGCAGAACGTAATAGCCATGAAATTTTAGCAACCTCTCCGTACTTATCCTACAGCGCTGCCATGTAGGAGGCTTTTCTTGGTCAAGGGAATAAGGCTGATTAGTCTTACTGTTTTTGGCAATTACTACGGGAAATTTGTGTAGGTTTCACTTGAGGACCAAATTTGCTCACTAGTATTTCCCAACAAATTGCAGGTTTTTGGCCAAATTGACGCGCAAATCACGGCGCGAATATGCGCAGTTACATCCATTCACGCGTCCTTTAATATGTCTACTTGCACATGCGAGTAACTTATCGGTTCGAAGTGGTAGAAAAGGAAAAAAAGGCACTTTATGTTCTCAGTCGAACTGACTATCAAGGGAAGTACAAAGTAACGCCTGTTTTGCGTTTAGTCTTCTTTCTGACGCCTTCGAAAGGACGATGTAAAGACGCGGCCGTCCGGCTGTGAGTCTCTCGTTAAGGGATACCCATGAACTGCTTCAATCTTTTAATTTTCAAATTCTCTTTTTCTTCTGCAATTCCTTCATTCTCCTCTAAAACCTTTTTTAGAAATGGCAGACACATTGATTTGCGGCACTTGTCGTGCCGGCACTGTCAGCACTTTGACTTGTCGTTATGTTACCTCTGACTATGAATCATTCAAGGACCAGTATTGCTGGTTATAACAGAAGAAAAGGTTGTGGATTGCACGTTCGGAATTGTTAATGTATTAATAATTGGGGAATTTGTTTCCAAATATTAATACGGGCTTATTTCAGGTCATTTATTCGTTCTTTCAGAAGAGCCAAAATATTTAAGATGTATCTCCTGTGGTGGTCGGTTTAAGAGTGCGTGGGCGCTATTGCACCACTTAACGGAGTTCCATCGCATGGTTTTGTTTAAGGTAGAAGAGGAACAAGAGCCAAAATCAGTCAAGGTAAGCTTGCTTAATACCTTCAAAACCGCAGCGTTTTTTTTCCTTTTGAGTTGGCGAAGAGATCAGAGAGCGTAGAGTGTGCTTCAATCTCCGGTGATGTCATGCACGAAGTGAATACTGAAAGGCGTTTTCAAACAAGCGACATTTCTTCTGAGTCGTTGCAGCTTCAGTCAACATTGTCTAGTGTATGCTAGTATATGGCCATACACTAGCGACAGATTGTGGATTGTCGGCAAGTGCATAATGCGTTTCTCTCAAGGTGTAATGCAAGGTTAATCCGGAGCGCAATTACCAACGATCTTCTCCAACGGTGTTTCACAACCGAAGATAGTCCCATGACAATCAAATGTAACTGCTGAACAGTTACTTGTGCTGTCGATCGTTGCAGAATCTCCTCAGGATTCGAGTAAAACTGGTATACCCTTGAATTCTTCTGACTGGCTGAGTAGATCCGTTATAAGACTTTCCTGAGATTGAAAATTTTTTATGCATATGATGTGATTGCCGGTATATTATTAGGAAGAGTCCCAGTTTTCGAACTTTTTGTTTTCATTATTTTTCCCTACTGTCATAAATGTGTCGCTATTTACTGTATGTATATATTGCACAGCCCTATGCTTTTCTTCGCTTTCTTCTTCACATTTTTATTTATAGAAGGATGTCAAATGTTATTCTAATGGTTGCGGATGTGATATCAAAGAAAGTTATTATCCTAACACTAAGACATAAAAGCATTCTTTTCACGGTCGTAAAAATCGACGCTTGTTAAACTTGGGTAGGAACAAATGATATTGTTCTAGATTTTTGAGCTGATACAAGACTCGTATAGAAAGAATTTACTCAGTTAATGTTTCCACGTCTTCGTTCATTCGAATGAAGAATTTTTCATCGCTCCACTCCGACCAATTCAACTCAATGCAACAGACAATGAAAGCCCTCTGTCGCGAATACAAACGACTGTGAACCATCGACTCGGAGCACTCTGACTCTGGAGAAGACGAATACATCGAAATGATAGCCGAGTAGAGTTTTTGTTAACCTCATGTCAGCCCAAAAATCGATGGGGAAGTTCTTTCCACGATTTGAAGCCTTTTTTTCTCTTGTTCCATAGACTGTTCTCGGCTGAGTAATGCGCCAAAGTTTTGTGCGTAGTTTTCTACTTTTACATATTACCTAAACCTATGCAGTCATATCTGTGTCCACCAATATAACCATATAATGACGATATGAGTCATATTTGACTCATGTTTTCCGAGACGCTGAATTCCGTGTGGCCCATGAATGGTTGACTTTCTTCCCTGATGTCTCTTTTGCCGCAAAAGGTTCCTTCGTTACATGTTTCGCATTCATTCATTAACTTTCTAAACAGAGATTTGTTCAAGGCGTTGGTGTAAAAGGAAGCTACTTTTACACTCAATTCATGAAGGTGTGAGTGAAGCACAGTCGTTAACGGTGCCATGCTATGCTCCTGATTGCTGGTTCAGTCCTACGTGCTTACAGCGTAGGCTATCCAATATCTCGAAATTTCGGGTTCGGAAAATTGACGTGTGTTGCATCGGGGATAAGAAACACTGATGTTACACATCCACAGACCCTCGCAAATTATTGTATAGGCTAGAAATATACATTCACGTGTACTATTTCAAATGAGGTTGAGTACATGGTGCATCTCGTGAGTGATAAAAGTTGGACATCTCCGTCGGTCCACTACAACATTTATTACATCACAGAATTAATAGTTAGGTAGAGTGGCGCAGGGATTAGTTCTTTAATTAGTCGTTGATGCTTATCTGCTCGACTCTGGATGGTGCCTCTCTTGCGATGTCAACTAGTTGAAGGATCTGCAATATACAGGTGGTACACTCTAGCGTTTGAAGAGCTGTGAGTAAACGCCGAGAAATAGTACACTGTTAAGGGTGGGCAGTGAAACTATGGGTCATAGTCGCTAGGTGAAGACACGATGTCACGTCGAGCGGAAGTGCTGGAGATTGAATTTCTCCACAGATCCTTCCTTAGTGCTATGTGATGATAGGCTGCTCATTTGTGTCCGCTTATATTTGCTCGATGTTTATTACATGAGCTTTTCGATTATTAGGTTCGATGCGCGCACGTCAAACTTGCGTTATTAAACCTTTGTATAAGCAATACACCAATATAACGTTACAGTGATATTAACATTGTAGAAGCTATATTTATTTGGACACTTGGATGGCACGTTCTTACTAGTTGGTCGGGCCTCAGCACAATCTCCAATTTTCGGAGTTTTGCTGGTTTAGCCATTGTGACTCCCTGAAGTCCCGAAGTCAAGCAGGCCAAAGTATGCCCTAGGTCGTCACCACCACAGGTGGTCGCCGCCTTTGCGGATCAGAGGGAGATTTGCCACCATACGATTGGTTTGGTACCATAACGATGACGGATCATGGTTATTGGTTTACTCCTAGCTGGGCTTTCTCATGGAAATGTCGGATTTGTCAGCGTGGGAGACCGGATGAATCCCACCGCTGTACATCGTAGCCAAACACCCAGAAACACCTCCCGGCCAAGATGTAGTGGTAAACAGTTGGGAGGTAGAAGCTTTACGAAGACCAAGAAAGTTTTAATGCATCAGTGATAAGTAGAACAGTAATGGAGGTGATATTCTTCTTTAAAGTCAACAATCGGAATTTCAACGCTAATATTACACATAACACAGGAGAACGTCCGAAGAGAGTCAAATTGAGATCCACCGATTAGAATGGAACCAGCTGGATAAGCGACTAAGTTTTTCATGACGACCAAAAACATTCACGGTAACTCGCAATTCCAGAAACCCACTGTCCGCGATGTATGTGGGAATCTCCCAAGGGAGTGCAGTAACGAAATACACCACATCATAGTAAATAAAAGGTTTGCCTAACCGATGCCGCTGTTGTCGTAAAATTCTACGCGGGATCAGACTATCGCCTCGTTCATGAAGGATTCCATTTCCCGTGGAAAGGGGAAAAGACCACTGAATTCAAAAGACGATGTCCCAAACGACCGACCATAAACTGGAATTTATTCATTCCACTAGTCGAGTGATGGGAAGATGCCGTTGTCGATAACATCGACGAGGAATACGATCGGCTCATTCCACGTTTTCACGTTAGCGCTAAGAAAGCTTAGAGTTCGAAAGTCACCAACAGACGTCTGTCTCCAGAAACACTCGTGCTGATAGACCAGCGTGGAATCGCACAAGCTACAAGCAGCAGTCAGCTAACGTACGAATTTGCAGAAAACGATATCAGAAGATCTTAAAAAGAGTAGAGCAGCACCTATAGTTGAAACTGCAAAGGCTGGGAAAAGTATTCACAAAGCATATTGAAACTTCGCCCATTACAAGCCTGAGATGATTGCACTCCGAAGTCCAGGCAGAACAGTTACAGCTTCCAGAAAGGCAGTGGCGGAAGTCATCCACGATTAATTCTCGAATCTCTTCAATAGATGAATCAATCCTCAATAGACGAAGAATCGAGCAACGCCTGGTCCGGATGGGATAGGAACTGAATTCCTCACCAGTCTTCCACTAGTCTTCACCAACACATTGGCATATGGATCTTTACACGTTACCTGTCAGAATGTATGGTTTTTATTCAATGGAGAATCATCAAGGCCGTGTTATTGTACAGAAAATATGATTTCCATGAGATGGGCAACTGTCGAGCAGTCTGTTTGCTATCTGTCGTCTATAAAATTCGTTCGAGTTCTTCCCAACAGGATTGACAGAACCGTGAATGAAGAACAGCAATATGAACAAGTAGGGTTTGGAAAAGAATTAAATACTACAGACCACATCAACACCATCTGGTGACCCATCGAATTACTACAACAGTACAGGAGACCGCTCCTTCATCGATTTAAAAAAGGAATATGACTCAGTTGAGACAAAAGCAGTCTTGGAATCTCTGAAAACACAGCATGTTGCTCCTCAGTTTATGAAAATTCTTTTTAAGCTATATCAAATCCTGCAACCAAATTATCAACCGCAAGGAGAGGGGTTCCACAAGGCAACACCAACTCGCCAAAATTGATTATAACCGCCCACGAGGAGTGAAGATCGGTGGTAGGAAATTGCATCACCTTTGCTTTGTTTATTATGTGGTTCTTATAAGACAAGTCATTAGCCAGGCGGGACTTTGATAGCGTTTATAGAAAGACTGGTCTTCGACCTCTCACAAAAGCGGTGTTCGCGAGAAATGGATTTATTTTTGGTGCCCACTCACGCTCAGTGAATATCTCCGGATGCTCCAGTTACGTGTGTCGGGATCGGGAGGACAACGTGATGATCACCTGGCTCCTGAGTTGGTCAGGAGGAAGTGAGCAACTGGGGAGCTTTCAAGAACATCGAGGATGTGTTGAGGACAATAAAGAATACGAGTCCCTGTACTCTTTTTCGACTACACGATTGGCTTGACGTAGACATCGGACAGTGTCGCTGATCGCTACGGAAGTGAAGTGGAACATTGTTTTGCGTTATCAAACGTCGAGAGAACGACGCTTGGAATATCAGACATCACGCATGGCCTCCTAATGCATCGCGTGAGTACTGTCTGCCAGACTAATTTTCCGACCTCGGAGTGTTGGAAGGCTTGGTGACTTTGAGGCGCGGGATAGGTCCCATGCATATTACAGGGCGACTCTAACTACTGCGCTACAAATGCTCTTGAGGCTACTATAGGCAGAAATAATTATGGATGGCTTTGATTGCCATCGTAAATCTAGAGTGCCATTTCATCTGGTTTGCTCAATTTTAGCACCTCTTGAAATATGGAGTTGTTTAGATTTCTTTGTGTGAGTTGTCATTGAAAACGCCGACTATTATCTTGTAGAAACCATAACATATTCTGTCTAATTTGTCCATATCTACACAAGATAGCTTAGTGACATCTGTACTGTATCATGATGTTGAAGCGTAGGCAACAAAGAATATTAATGCTGGCACTGACGCACATCTTTTCATTTGCAAATTTATGATTCAGATCGGTAGCTGTCCAGAGAAACTGATGGTGATAGCTAATCTTCCGCCAGCTACGACATTTTCCAAGAAAGAATTCCTTTTTCAAAGGTCATAAATAGAGTATGATGCCATCTTGTTACAGTCTCGTGTACTAGCCCAGCGAGTGTACCTATGAAGGATGAAGCTCTTGGCGTTGATCAATCCTTGAGGCATGCGCCATCTACTCGACTTTATCAAAGGATTGTTAGTGGTGACTGAATGTATATCGGGTCTATGCAATGACTCGCAGTGCCTACTAATGCATCGAGTCAGTGCTGCTATCCTCCCAAACAAGTCTTGTACCAATTTGCGGACTCCGGAAGGATGGAAGATTTGGTGAGCCTGTGGCACTGGATCGAACCCGTGTGTATTTCAACACATCTATGACCACTACGCTACGCGCGCCTTTTTTTGTGCAGCATTCCAACCTCCACGATGCAAAAGTAGAACTGTTTAAACACTCATACAGATCTGTTCCCATTGATACTTTCACTAACACAACTGTTGTGTGGTGAACGAGGAAATCAACAATATTGAGAATTCTCATAAATCACGGATTTTGAAGACAGAAAGCACCTAAAATTTCAGCTAAAAAACGTTTCTTCTCGAGAAAACCAAGGCAATAAGACTGTTAACAAAACTGCAATCACAATTTCCAAATACTGATGAACACAAAACAAGGATATAACTCTTCATCTATATAGCAACAGAAGATAGACAACTTCAAATCGATTAAAAATTATACTGCAGCACCTACACTCCATGTACAAATGATTGAAACTCATCGAGATCCAAATCGGCGTTGTAGTTCAAAAAAGTATCACCTCGTAATGAGATTAAGCTACTACCTGACCCAATCAATGACAAATTAGAGACATACATACGTGTGTAAAATATAATCAAAGACGAACTGTTCATGAGGTACAGTTCCATTACCTTCTACTGCATGATATGTGGTGAGCATAGCCTTATAGGCACATCGATAGATCATGTGATAGACTGAATGCATACAGTGAAAAGGCAACATCAAATATTGCGGAACAAATGACTAATCATGTGATTGCTTTGCTGATCACAACAATAACTCTATAATACTCCGAAACAAGCAAAAAATGCACTAGGTCAATCCATAACCAGAGGTTGATTTCAGTTACAGCAAGCAGAAGAATGAAAGAAGTAGTAGTGAAAGCCATCGTAATACCATATATTAACGTTCCGTCTTATTGGTATTGTTACTCAAAGCATGACCAATAAAGAAACCACACCTCTGCCTCCCTTTCGATGAAAAACGGCAATATCAAGTGGAATGTGAAACGAATCCAGCGGATTGAAATGACAAAGCAAAAGAACTACATCTCCATTGAGAAACCTTCTGAGCCCATCGAAGCGAACACACCAGCCAGTGGCTCGAAGTCCGTATTTACCACGCTTAATTTCGATACCAAGGATTGGGCGGCGCGCGCTGAAATTAAAACTTCACGAATAAAAACCATTAGGCAAAAAAGTTCCCTAACAATTATCTTGAATTCCTGCAGCAAAGTCTTAAAAGTAGAGAGTAATGCGTAGTAATGTCTCAACTAGAAGTGTATCAATGTCTGCATACCAATTTCAGGGTGAGAGCTATTCGCATTCCCATCAATTAGTGGCCGATCGCTACTCCACTGCTGAGCGAGGCTCTCATCATCAGCTACACGATCACACACTTCCAAAATCTGCAGAAAACAAATCCGATTAATAAACAGCGTCGGTGGTAAAGAAAAGTTTCTTCAAACAAAGAAATTTAGTGTGGGTTCGAACTAAATCTCGACTATTCTTCAATGAATTTTTTTTTTGCTTCTGCCAAACACCTTTGTATAAGGGATGAGGAAAAAATATCTACTCCGGAGATGAGATGATCGTGAAGATAAGGCCGTTATTGAGAAAACGAAGCATTGCACTATGGTAGCAAAATTGCGTCATTTCTCTTACAAATGTAAACAAAAAGGAATGTCCTTTTACTCTTATAAGTAAAAAATATCTAAAAGACTAAAACACAGAAATATCATCCTGAGGACCTTAAAGTAACAACTAAACCCATTCGGTAATGGGAGTAGTCCTACGAGACGCTAGTTATTCGGTTCGTGACAAACAATAATTAAAAGTCATTTCTTCCTAATGGTATACCGCCTCGTCGTGGCTCGGAGCTGTTCCTGGGTGTCTGACTGCGATGTACAGGGGAGATTTGGTCTCTCCATCATGGGTCCCCTAAGTTGAGTCCGACGTTTCCATCAGGAAACTTAGCTAAGAGTAAACTAATACCAGGATCCACCACCGTCTTGGTATCGAAGTCGCATGGTAAAAGATTTTACTCTGATCCACAAAGGTGGCGACGATCTGGGACAAACTTTGTCCAGACTGACCTTGGGACTCCAGGTAAACACAACGGCTAAACCAGAAAAACTCCGAAAAAATGGAAATCCTGCTGGAGGCCGCACAACCGCTGAAGACGGACTCTCCAAATACCCAAATAAAAAAAATTATTTCCTGTTTGTATTGTTGCAGTATACCATGCTAAATCGTATTTCTGTTCAATGATTCCTCATATTTATGACTTCTTATTTACTGTCTTTTTTCTTCATGCCAGGATCCTATGTAAAACACAACTACTATGATGCTGAAATATTTGCAAAACGCAGACCACAGGCCACATTCCAACCTGCGATTACTCTTACCGGGGCTCACGTGTTACCTACTGTATGTTACTGCTGAGGCCCTCATTTTGCCCATTTCTCAGGTAGTTTTTTTTGTACCACGACGGTGCCATGGGCAATCACCAATCAACGGCTCCCCAAATCATTCCTGGAAAGGGCAATCGTTGGTTCGAATTCGGCCTGTGGTCTGAGTTTCGTAAAGCAAATCTTACTGATACATCATGAATTTAAACTTGGAAATAAACCAACGCTAACAGCTTGAGATGTCAACACGATATAGAACAGAAAATGGCTTCCGAACGCACGATGGGTATATGGTTTTCAAGGTTTCGCATCGAAGGTGTGCAGCTTCGTTATGAAGAACGCCGTGGACATCTATCAGAAATTTACTACGACCATTTGTAGTCGATAATCGAAGCTATCCCTCCAAAAACTATTTAAGTAAGGATATAAAACTTAATATTCACAATCCAACAACCCGTTTTCACATTTACGACACTGGAAACGTGTAGAAGCTCGATAAATGAAATCCGAGTGAATTGAATGAATTCCATCAAGGTCCTCGTTATATATTCCGCTCTTGGGTTCTTTTACGCCACACAACTAACCCATTTCCAGACCATATTGTAACCTGCGACAAGAACTAGATTCCATAAGCCAACCCACAAATTCAGCTCTTCGACTGGAACAAAATGAATTCTGGAGGAAACTTTGAAAAACCTATCTTGTACGAAGATGTGACTAAGGTGAGTTTTCCATTGCTAACAGAATAACTCATGTAACGTAAAGCTTTTTAAATTTGTCGAAACAACCGCAGCAGAAAATTATGGTCACCAAATCGATGAAATCCTACAAAAATATCAGCGCATGTAACCATATATGACCAAGAGAAAGAGTCCAATTTTCTTGTATGACAAATTCGGCCACATGTAGCTCAAATAATGGTGCAAAATTGACTGAGCTATGCTATGAAACCAAGCCTCACCTACCTTACCTATAGGTTCTCCCGCTAACCAACTAATAATTTCTAAAAAATATCTTGGCATTTACTAGTTGACAAAATTTTTAGCAACTAAACCGCTGGTAAAACTACTTTCCACGAATTCTTCGCTTGCAGAACTTCAAAATTTTAATGTATCAGAATAAGTAAACTTGTACCCTTTCGGAGAAGATGTCTAGGTCTAGTTATGTTAGCATTCATCATACGATTACTTTACAACTAAAGTAATACAATGGCGGCTACATGGGTACTCCTTCAGATCAACAATACCTTAAATCACCCCCATGCGTTAATCAATAAGTTGAAGATTCTTTTGAAAAATAGGACACTAATTTGTCCGTCAAGTGGAGGATAACAAACATCAAAAAGAAATCAGTAACCCATAAACTGTTCGAGAAATTTAGAAACAAAACAACTATGAGGTCTTGTTGCAGTGATTAAAAAGTAGAGTGGAGATAAGAAATGAGCAATATCTACCTGAACAATAAGATTGTCCTCGCTAAAGGTCCGCAAAAGTTCCATCATAGAAACTGTGCTATTTCTAGAACGTATGTGATACATAATGAACGGTAGAGAGGTAATATGTTGCAAAACCTTTTCCTCACCTAACAAATAGAGCAACTGTTTTCTTCGCACTCTCTTCACACATCATCACAAGATTTAATACCCGAAAACATGCGACCAACATAGCCACGCTCTCCTTGCGATTGGAATCCTACATTAATTATTTTCCATAAAGTAAAATCCATTGAAATTTCCCAACTTACGGTTGCTTCTGCCCTTGTGATTGAAATCACGTTGAAAACGATTCCGATAATATTTTCGCTTTTCTCTTCAACTACGGCTTGCATTACGGTGGCGCCCCAGCCAGCACAACAACTTAATAGAAGACCAACCAGCTAAAACAATGCCAGGTTTAAAAATGCTTTTCTTTAAAATGAAATAAGTTATGGGCTTCATAACGAAATAAACTTACACGTAGGACGCGAGAACGAATAATCATACTTCCATGGGATAAAAGATTCAGCAAACATACTTGGAATGATTTCTGAAGTTGAAATTCTTATAACTAAATACAGAGTCAGATGGAATTTATAAGGAATAGGTAATATAGAGAAAATTCTACCTGCGATAAGTAACCGTCCCTTGCCCTCGTTATGTCTGGTTTCAACGGTTCTACTATTAACGAATTTAAGCACAATAGAATATTATCGACTAACTCCTCAAGCATATTTTTTAATTCCTTGGTTTGCATCCACTGCTCCAAACTGAAATTAGTTATAAACGAAAAACCTACCAAGTTAAATATCGAAGGTAAAGAGAGACACTCACTTGGAGTATTGCTGGCATAACCTCGTAAATATGTCGAAGGCGTTACATTCTATTAAAAGCCTCTGAAAATCAACACGACAATAGACAGAATCCATGTTCAAGTTTTATGAATGTTCAAAATATAACGACGATTTAGCCCGCATGCTTTAAATGTAACAAATCAGACAGTACCTTATTAACCGGGCGATTTGCCATAATGTTTACTAAAAACCCGGAACTGTAGCGTCTCAGAAAGAGATCACGATCATTTGATCGGCACAAGATGTCCAATACCTATAAGAACTTTCACCATGTTATACATTAATACTGAAAAATCGAATGCTTAACACCATCACGAATGATTCCCTAGCAACTGGTATCTTCCTGATGACACACATAATCTCTTTCTTACACCTCTTGCAATCAGTCGGTCCGAAAAGCTCTATTCCACACTTAGAAATGTACGAAAAAGAATTTTCTCGAACCAATTCATTGACGGGTAGCTTAACGGAATAAAAAAACAACAAAACTGACACAGCATAGGCTGTGAAACACTTCCAAATTCTGACAACAACGTGTTTTCATGATGGACGATAACAACTTACTTTAATTGTATACAGGTCATTTATACTCATCAAACGACTGTGCAAAGTTTACTTTACAATCCTGCTATGTTCACAACCTTTCAAATCCACCAATTATTCAAAAACATTTAAGACTGGAAATTAAGCGTCTGGTCAAGCGGCAGCGCTGCTAGACGCCATAATTCTGCCATGAGTTAAACTTTATATGTTCCAGAAACACAAAAACACTGATTAACATAATCTGGCCCCTATGCAAGGATGACTGATCAACATAATCTAATGCAACGCCACTGGGACTAACAAGTGCTCCTATTGCCAATACACTCCAGAATAATATTTTCCAACGAACCTGACGAATAGCTATCCTCAAATCTTGATCATCAACTGCTTTAACATCACTAGCTAGTGCAACCAGGTGAATACCTTCCCGCAAAACGTCCGTAGATTGGTAAAGACGCTCACAAACTTTCTAAATGAATAACTATATTCGAACAAATCTTTGAAACTTCATGTTTTCTACCTAAAACCAAGAAAAAGAAACAGAGCAAAGAAGAAACACATAACGCCGCCCACGAACCTGCAAACCACCACAACGAACGAATATTTCTGCAGCAGTTTGACTAGCCATAACGACATTCAGTAAAGCAAAGATCCGATAAAGCAGTCTTCCTTGATCTTTTGCGTTATCTGCTAAAGCCAATAGCCCACCATCTGTCGAACCAATAAGAAGCTCAATAAAGCGTCCACCGTACGACTGCACGATATGTTGCTGAAAAGAAAACATAACAGCGACGTAAACATAAAAACAAATGAATAAGAAGACCAAAAAGTAAGACACTATAAAAGCTAAAATAATGTAAGAGGATCGATACTTTAGCATTGTTATCTTTTCGAGCAAGAAGTTGCAACGAATGAAGCACGAACAATGTTCTTTTTCGATCAGGTTTTTCCTTCAGAATATGAAGTAGTGCGTCAAGAACCTGCAGAATTTTAGTTTAAAACAAGGTTTCAAACTGCGTGGCTAGAAAACTTACAGCTCCAGGCTGCATTTGTTTTGCATATGTTATACATTTAGCTCCTTCTGGACCATTGAAATCGAAAAGAGTATGCAAGGTGAGCGCAGCAGCCCAGTTCAAGTTCACTCTGTAGTACAACATGAAAAGTAGACGAAATCTGCTTGTAGAAAAGTAAAAAAAGAAACAAAGACAAGTGCACAAAAATATCATACTTGGCAAAATGAGCGATAATGTAGATGAATTCCGACGTATTCTTATCTGAGGCGAGATGCATTACCACTCTTAAAGTGCTCGGATTCCTACTCAGATAAAAGATGGCGTTGAGAAGTAAATTACTTGTTTGCAGAGAATTTTGGCGACGAAACTAGAAAAGAAAGAAAAATCATAAACTGTACGGGAAGATAAAGATAGAAAAGCAGATAAGTTATAGAAAGAAGCTTTGTGCAAAAAGCGAACTGTAGAACAAACGAGCTGGAAAGCAAATTCAGTAGTCAACAAAAACTAAAAAAAACCTGCTCTAAAAATATAGGTATGGTAGAACAGCGCAAATACGATATGAATTAGGCATAAGATTAAAACGTATACTGTGAAAAAGAAAGATAAAGACCTAAGAAAACGCAAAAACTTGTCGTGACATTTCAAGATGTGTTTGATAAGGCTAAACATAAAAGGATAAAGCTCTCGGCGCTAATCACTCCCTGAGGGATACGCCATGCATTCGACTTCATTAAGCATCGTTGGAGGTGACTGAATGCATATCTGGCCTTTATAACGACTTGCAGTAGCCTACCCATAAATCCAGACACTGCTGCTATCCTCTCAGACAAGGCCGGTACGAATTTGGCGACCTCGGAGGGATGGAGGACTTCGTGGGCCTGGGGTGCGGAGACGATCCCATGTCTATTGCAAGGCTCTTACGATAATTGCGCCTCATGCGTGCCATTTTTGATAAAGTTACGCAAAGGAAAAAATACAGCACTAGAACTTCAGAAAAAACGGATCAAAGTTAGTGAAATAGTAGTAGTTTAAACGAATAATGTAAAGAAATGGCCTAGAACAAGATGCTAACAGGGGCTCAACTCACGTTAGGATCAATGATATTCTTTAGAAGTTGCGTAATGAGCAAAAGCAACTTGTGGACGCTGCCCATATCTACGAATTGAAGCATATTTCGCTGAGCATAATGGCAGATACACTGGATGATTTTGAACTGCTAAAACAGATTTAACAAATAAGTGTAAAAATTCGTTGTCATGGCAGAACAGGAACGGCACTAACATCATTACTATAGAAGTTATTTATGGAATAAGCAATGTTTCTCCGAACTTCCTGGATGGTAGCCGGATCAACATTCTCTGTACATGGAGGTGTTGATGCAGAAGAAGAAAACTGCGACTGTGGCCGCTGAATTTTAAAGTTAAAGGGCTTGATCATACTGCATATCACCTTAGTAGATGAAAACTGCTTACCAATTCAGTAAAACTGGAGTCCTGAGGACAGGATGCTGCATTGGCGTTTAGAGTCGTTTGCACGCTCATCACAGAAACGAGGTCATCTTGCATGCTTACATGGGACATCACCGAAGGTGCTGCAGACTGTATCTGGAGCAACGATGAAAAACCTAACGCCAATGAAAACCATTCCAAATCCTTAAAAGTCAACAAAACTCACAGGGGAATTGGCATATACAGCATTGTACGGGCCATTCATCCAATGATTTGTGTGATCTGATTGAGGAACTCGAGATGGAGATCGAGGGTAACTAGGAGGGTAGATGTGTGGCCTGCAATGAAAGCATTAAATTCGGATTTGGCGCTCAACTGAGCCATTCTAGTGTATCACAATGAAGAAGCAAGGAGAAAAGAATACTTGTGACTTCATACGAAGCCAGAAACAGATCAATATGAGTATGAAAGAGAGATAAGAAATCATCACATGTTTTGCCTGCAAGCCGGTGGATATTGCTGCATCATCTCCGGTTTAGGGTATTGTGGAAAACGTGAAGTCGAAGCAATCTAAACCCAGTAAAAGATCAGAAACAAAAAATACGCAATAGTAACAAAAAATGTGAAAGGTAAGCATTGCTAAGGGCATAAAATGCAGATAAACTTGGATACAACTAACATTTTGGGTCCACCAAAGGGCTGCTTGTCCTCTGGGTTGAAAAATGCAAATGAACATGGGTAATGGACAAGTTATCACCTGCTGATCATACACTCTTTGTGCATCCATAGAACACAAGCAAAGCTTCGTGCTGGAAGCACCGCCCCGAAGATATCGAAACGGCTACAGTGCGAAGATCGAGCCTCGGCTACTCAATACAGAAGTGATCTCCCAAAACAAACGTTGATAGTCGAAATCCTGGAAGGGACGTAAAGCACAGCGTGTATGGACCTGTACGGAACCAAACAACGGGTGAAATATATAGAAAATAGATATCAAGCGTTATATGGATGTAATCACCACAAAAAGACATAGTAGAAGATGTGTGGACCACTTCAACTGTTTTGATTTTGTTCATTTCAAACCTTTTAGCTTAAAACTACAAAACATCCCGAAACAAAAAAGGTGAAAAAGCGAAATCAGAAGACCATTCAACGACGTCGGTGGCATGTTAGGAAACTCCATGAAACCGAGTAACTCCGAAGGCGGACAGAGTAGAAGGACACAAGAACAGATGGAACGTGTAAAAACACAGCAGAACTAACTGGTACTACCTGAGAACGAGTTCAAATTTCCGGGCCAAATTACCGTCGGCGGGTGGATTCAAATTCTAGCGTCCCCCTCCAACGACCCTGATCAAGCGTCTGCCACGCCCCGCTGCCGCAACGCTCTCTCGTGAGGGCCCTATACGCTGCAACTCTGCTGCAAGCGCGCTCTCTCGTGTAATCAACAGGCACTGCGACTCCGCCGCGTACACGCCCCCTTGCACACCCTCGTCGTCCCGCTGCGCGCCTCTTCCCAGGGCCAGCACTCGAGGTGTGGAGAGCCTTCGAGTGCTCCGAGTGACCGTTCCAGAAGGCCGTCAACTCTCACTTATTCATGTAAATTTGGCTTCTGTGATAATGTGCTGTTTACGGAAAATGTACTTCAAAGATGCACTTTTCGCACCAATTCTTGTCCGAACGTAGGAAAAGAGCTCAGTTAGATTCGATTTGCTCCTTCAGTGTCGGATATCGAGTGAGTGCTCAAAGCTGTTCGGTACCTAGAATCCGGTAAAAGTGCGCAGCTCTTTGGACAAAAGATGAGGGTGACCATTTCGCTAATTCGACTCGATTTCTGGTGCTGTTAAAGGGTCAAACATTTCCCTAACCAGGTAAGATTTATGGGAGTTTTGAATTTGTTTGCAGAATTATCTGTGAAACGTCCCAACGCGAGACGCATTGTTCAGATGTGGTGCTATCATCATTATGGTGCCAGCTAGGTCGTACGCGTCAGAATCCTTGTTTTGCTAATACCTTGAAGCCTTGAGGGTGCTTTGAGTATAGCGACGGACCGCTGTGGTCATGCAGCGTCGCCTTTTTTTTATCATTTGAGAATTCGCATCTTAGGGACCTCGTACCCGTTGTCATCTATGGGATTGGTCAACAGAGAACTCCAAATGTTAGCATTTATCCATCTCTGTGGTGAACTCTGAAGGTGTCTTGGTCCATTGTCCAAACCTCTCTATTTCTTTTGCACGTCGTAGTTTCCTGTAGTTGCGTAAGTTTTGAAAAAGTGGGGTCTCTCCCTGAAGGTGAAGTAGTGTTTCAACGCAAGGTCCAGTCGCTTCGGTTGAAATCGACTATCCTCGTGTTCTAAGGATCACCGTCGAGATGATATTCGTCGTGTACTCATTTGAATTCAAATTTGCCTCGAACGGACAGGTTTCTCGCGTCGCCGTCATAAAAACACGCGTATATCCGACAACGTCCATTACGTCTTCCGTGCCGCCGCCGTATATTTCATATGTATCGATTGATTGAAGTATGCATATCTGTGCTTAAACTCAACCACTTATGATACTTTATGTATAACCTGTCCACTAAGTGAATCAGAGATCGTGAATCGTTGCAGATGGCGCATACCCATCGGTATATTTTCAAAGTGGTTGAAATTATTTTTGCTGTTGTTGTCTATCTTATGGGTAATAGACTTAGGGAGGAACTAACTCTGGAGAAACAAAAGTTTACGAAAATGGCAGTAGTAAGTGGAGAGTCAACTTTGCTCATAATTTGGAGTTGGGCGAAATTTGCACCTTTCACCTTGAAATAGAATACCTACTTTATACAATAATATACTGCAGTACGAGAAATACCTCGGGATCGCTATTTCTACTGTTGTTTTTTACATTCCTCACGACAACAGGGTCTTCAGAGCATTAAATATTAGTTAAACATGGGACGAGTTCTGGTCTATTTGGGTAGAGGACGTGAAAAAGGAGCCTTGAGTTTAATTCAATGAAACCACAGAAAGAATCGTTCCTAGTGCTCCATTGTTGCCTAACGAAACGAAATATTTCTAAATGCTTCGGCTGTGTATACCATGATTGGGAAGTCCATGTAACGAACGACATAGCTCGGCGCTAAACGGTGGGAAACAAGCAGCTTGAGGAACATACAAGACCATCGAGGATGAATTTGTGGGAAATTCTTAAGCGTATGTGCAAAATCGGTGTTATAGAATTGAGTCATGTTATGGTCACCTTGATAAAAGAAAAATTTTAGGCAGCTGGAGAAAAAAAACTAGATTGCGACTTCTAAACTGTGAATGGATCCCTTAGAGGTTCTCCATCTCACAGGTCTTTTCTAATCTGGTTTTTATCGTCAGTGATACTGTGAATATGGCTTGCCTGTCGTATGACAAAGTAGGTAATAGTTTCTCTTCCTCACCTTGTTATCACCGTAGTAAAAAAGTTAAATTTATTGACGACAGTGAGTTTTTCAATAATTGTCAGCAAATTCTCGATAACTGGAGGAGTGAAGGAGTGAAAAGTTTTTGAAAAGTGGGAGATGTTAGATTTTTCAAAATTGTTTATTCCTTCCAAATTTGTGGAAAAATTGGCTTGAAATTTTAAGGCGAGCGCAGCAGTCTTTGGCACATAACGCCTGATATGTATGCACTTCTGTGCAATGCAACCCGTCAGCGGCAGAGTGGACGAAGTGCACTGCACCCATGCATTGTTTCCCAGTGATTAATTCTGCTACACAAAGCATCAGCTTAACTAGGTTCAATGACTAGTTGTGCTTCCCAGATCAATCCTGTTGATGGGTGATTGCTGATAGCACTGGTAGATAAAAAACATGGCTGAGAGACAGGAGAAACGAAGAACATGCATGGTGTGGTGGTGAACGCGTCAGCCCGCGGAAAGGGTAGTAGCTTGTTCGTTTCCCAATGCAGACACCTAGAATCCGGAGTTTTGCAAATATCTGAGCATCATTATGGTTGCATCATTACTACGCTTAATGACAGCTTTTCGCTACGGTAAGGTGGCAAGTCATCGCGTGGGCTTCTCCAGACTGGGTTGATCATTTGTTAATCAACGTGCTTCAACACAGCTTGTTAGAAAGTCTATTATTACCACAACCTGTTATTGACATATTCAAGGTTGTGCTCAATAGTACTTTCTTAGAATATGCAATTAAAACACATACAAGACATGCCAAGCTTTACAAGACCTACATGGGAAGAACAGTCTAGAACTTTTAGTCCTTACTTGCATACAATTCTTTACTTGAAAACTACACTTCATAGTAAAGTAGTAGACTTCTGTGATGAGTACTGGAACACTCCAAAGAACAATGCCGATTAGAATGGCTGCATCCAATACTAACCTGCTTGGCATATCTTGTTCCGCATCTGCAATCGTAGTTCCTTGATATCGTTTGCTAAAGATAGTCTCCACCTTCTGAACCTACTGGTATCACCTTTTTCAACGAGGCTAGAAGACCGCGGTGTGGTAGCACTCCCTCTTTCAGCGTAATGCAATTTCATCTCAAAGTCATCAAGCAAGGTGTTCCGGATGTCATCACTACAGATCTTCCGTGAGCTTAAGGCCGCGAAAAGCCTCCCTCTCCTGGTTGAAACTTTTTCAATAACGTAAGGCATTGATTACTTGACGGAAAAGTGTTCATCTTGATTTGTGATGTCCTTTATATTCTATATGTGCTGAAAACAACGGCCTTTCTCTGCTAATGAAGGATTTGTGTAGCTTAGACAATCCTCAACACTGATTCCTCTTTTCTTTCTTCTCTAAAATTTCTATTCAGAAGTTCTAATTTGTAGAAGATCGTACACGTGTCGACGAAATAGAAGTTGCCCTTCATACCCTTTTTGCTTCGTCGGCTAACCCATTTATTTCACTTAACCATCACTATCCATGTCACGTGCAGGGATCATCATCTATGTGTGCACATCTCTACCTAAAAAAATCACAGAATTACTTGAGAAAAAACTTTCCTTAAAGAAAACTTGTACTGGTGCACGATACTGGAGAGTGAGTCGTCCACGCGATGAATCATGCGGACATTAACACGAATTCCGTATCACTGATATTTTGGGGATCAAAAAAGGTCCTCTCTCTCTCTGTCAACCCCTCTCTTTGTCTCCTTCTCTCCCTTTCTCTCTCTCTCTCTCTCTCCCTCTCTATGAGTGTATGTATGTATGTATGACTTCTCGAGATAGCTGTGCTAGTGCATTACCAAAGGCAGTCGACTGCTCTTTTGGATTTG